TTATTATTGTTTTGTCTGCTTTGTGAGTACTAAGTACTACCCTGAATGATCGGGTCACTACAATGAAGTGGGGGTTCATCCGTCTCCTACTGGATGAATTTTCATAGTGAGAAACAAAATCTAATTATTCTCCGGTAACCCGACTTCCCCCCCTCTTCTACTACTAAGTCGTTCCCCTTTAGCAGATTGATGGCCAAGATGCTATCATCCAATACATCCGTAACAACCCAATCGCCTAGCAACAACCACGAGAGAGGGAAAAGGGGGGGGGGGGGAAGACATGTAAGGTACAAATAAATCTCATGATTGTATGGTGTCCAATACGTACCTGATCACAATATCGCAAAAATAGCTCCTCTAGCGCTATTCGTCCTTCCAGAAATGTCGGAGCGTGCCCTCGAAGGGAGAATAATCCTTTCATCTGACAAATAGACAATCGACGTGGCTATAGTGGAACCCAGGGATCGCCGTCTGTCCTGTCACAGTCGAATGATAGGGCCAGGACCTCTGAGTGTTGGTACACTAGTATTCACTATCTGTGATTTTATGCATCTACACCTACACAGGCAGGTACCAATCCTGGACCGTCCCGCGTAGGTAGTGAAGAGCGAAGCACAAGGAATCTTCGTAGAAGCTGTCTGCGGAGGGGTAACCGAGAAAGAACAAGGTACGTAGATGGAGAACCCGAGGCGTACTATGTCATGAAGCGCTCCACTTCGGAAAATTTGAGGTTGCACTCCGTCGAAGAACATATCAGCAGTAAATGTCATACATATCCGAGTGCCCGATGCAATTAGGTGCCTCAGGTGCTGATTCATGAGCTAGAGAGGTATAGTGTGATCTGACTTCGTATCTTGTACTCATTGGTGGAACCTAAATCCATATGATGGGGTCGATATACCTACCTGAGGAGTAGATGATTTGTACAATGACCGAGGGACAATCAGTGCGCAGGACGTTCTCCAGGCAAAGTGCCAACGCTCGGAAATCGATCGACCTGAACAAGAGAGCAGGTGGCAGTACCATTATCCCCTCAGAAAGCTGAACCTACGACAGCAAATCATTCTCCAGTGCCCAATACCAGTCTCTGCCTTACTCTGATCCCTGCAGACAGCGAGTGAGTCAAAGACTGCTCAAACATCGGATACAGACTCCGTATGCGTGTGAGGATATCTCGAACGCAAGAGCTCTCGAGAATCAATGTAGAAGGTTGTCTGTGCCTGGCCAGGCTCTGCGACGCCCCATGCTGACCACCATGTCGGATACATAATACACGCTCTTATAGAGCCACCTTCATGCTCAGCAGCTTTCGTTAAGGTTCCGAGACGCAAGCCCATCCGTTTCATGTGGCACAACCTTTTTCAGCTCGATGCTCATGGCCACATTTGGAAATCTGCTACCTTACACTTGGGTATCTCGGGCGAGCGCCTCAGTTAGCCACTTCCACTGCGCCAGGTTTATCGGGGTGTTGTGGTGGTGGTAAGGCACAGGACAGTTCAGCCATAATTCCTACAGTTCTCTGAACAGGATATCTGTCGATGACGCGTCCAACACATGTTGGCAGCCTTGAGTCTTCTCCAGGCAGAGAAAAAGCCTTGGACTGGACAAGGTTTCAGAATCAGAGGAGTTGTATTTGATCACGTAGGCCTTGGTTTATTAATGGAATAGGATGATAGGGTGCGCTCAGGCCTCAATGTCAAAACCTAGATTGATCGGTTGTCTACGGAACATCCGTCAGAATGCCAGCCTTGTGGCCTGACATCGGGAGCGACAAAAGTGCAGCATGGAGATGAAAATGCTGAGCCCAGTAAAAGCTCAGAAGAGAGGCGAAATAATCATGCCAGGTAGGCAGAAATACGAGAGATATCCAAAGATAGTATTATCGCGATGACTTGTTATCGATTGTACAAGAAACCCGATTCATGACCCCGCAGATCATGTGCGAAGACCAACAGAAGGTCAAAGTCACAACCTCAGTTCGGCTGAAATTGCAGGTCAGTAAGTATGAGTCTACCTGCCTAGCCTAACCCATCGTGTTCAATGGCACGGCCGGGATTACATCATTTTTCTAGTAGTGCTCTTCAATCAGGGTATTCAGAACCAACGCTCCCTGAGAACGCTTAATTTTCAGAAACCCATCATTTGGATCATCATTTACTTTGTTTCTTGCCGAAACACCCTACCTACTCCTTTAGAGGCATGATAATCTTACAGGAAATAATGACAGCAAATCATGTATTCTGTGTCCGAAAAGTTCAGGAGGGTAATTACTAGATTGGGGTCCGAAATTTCTCCGCAAACCGTTCAACACTTTCAGCCCGTTACGCATTGAGGAATTCAACGGCTGTCTCCTAAATTTAGCGTACTCGGAGATTACCTCTTACCAGTCTAAACTTCGGATTGCCAGTGTACCAGAAAACCAAGTTGGAACTATGCGACCAAGTGCGAAGTAGACACTTTCACATGAGCTCGTATTGCACTTTCCTTTTGCGTCATGTGGATCAACTCATTCGTCGGCTCCGAGAGAGATCATACTAGTCAACTACCCCTATTCTTAAACACACTATATGGCGTCTTCGAGCCATGCTAGCAAATTTAATGGCGAAGATCATCAACAATAGATAATGGATCACAGTGTACGGAGCAGAGCAGCTGAAGCTTATAAAGTAGCTTAGTTCGTGGCACCGTGCCGGCAACCTTCTTCTCCAATATGATACTCGACGACCCGAAGAGCAGTATACTATGCGAAGCGCCTTAGTTTCTCGCCGTTCTCGCCGCGTGAGGGACTAATAGTGGTACTGTGGCTATTTTCTACTTGGGAATACCACTCAAACTCCTTGAGTCACAAAATAAAAATAAAAATAAAAATAGCGAGAAGGGGTAAAAGCAGGCGGAGACAAAGAATAAGGTTGTATCTACAAATGTGTGGACACTATTGTATATAGTCGCAAGCCGTAAACCAACTATTTAAATAAGTAACAAAAGACGTAAATGGAGATTATATTCACTCAGATTATACACAACTACTTTAAACATATGTACAGAGTGGTTATAGCTTCTTTCCTCGTACCCAAACGTGGAGACACCTTCCAAGTATGAAGCACATTATCTCCAATCTTTAAAGTACGACGGAGCATTACTTCGACACGACAGTATCTTTGTGTCGTGATCAAACCAATAACCGACAAAGGTAGCAGTACTCTTGAGTGCTATCTGTGAGTACACAGAGATAACTTACTGCCAACTCCCCAGCAGCGAAGTCCTCATACATAGATAGTTTATGGATTACTTATCGCATTTCACTACCTTTATCTATTGATGCCGAAACCAAGAGTTTTATTGTTGAAGGTTTTAAATGTCTGCAATGCAGTCCAGTCAGACTTCACTAAATAAGGCAGAGTCCATGGTGTCTCAGTATCCAACCACATATATCCACATCATTTACGACTGAGCTACTTTCTTCCCAACACAGGTCATGGGTACCATATTTTATGTGACCGCTATAGATCTACACTACACATGATCAGATGTGACTATCCCTTCTTATCTTTGCTTTCTATATCACCTCCACTATAGTTTCAACCAGGCATGTAGTGCAATCAGTATACGTCTATACTTAGCAGTTTAAACAGCTGCTATTGTCTACTATCTGGAATACTATGCACTGACACTAATAGTCTCCATGTTATACGGGCTCAAATACCTCGGCAAGCTGTTAACTATTAAAGATACAATGACTTGACTATATTCATTGGAGTGAATAGCGCATGATCTTAACTCGGTCAGGCATCTGACCAACAGTCCATTGTAGAATAACGATTCTCTGTGTATAATTTGCCAAGTGGTTTGGTAGAGCGAAGTCATGCCAGCAGTGTGTTGTGTCTTCCTTATGTTGGGAAATAATTCGATATGTGCCTTTCCAGAATTCCCAGAGTAGTTCTCGCGCTGAGAAATTGGGAAGAGCATGCTTAAGTATGCTGACAGGAAGATTGGAAGAGATCTTGGAGAGTTTATCATCTGATGAGAAGCATACGGATCAGTCTTTTGCAAGATCGAGGTCGATACTGCATCTGAGGCCTACGCTATAGATGATGAATGGCTAATATAGGTAGCTACGAAAGCATTATAGCTCTTATCCGAGAATATACAAATCGAGATTGTATATATGTAAACCCTTTATATTACTGCAAGAAAGCACTTTAAGACTTAGCTCTACGCAAGAGAAAGGTATGCGGGTTATACTGAACACCGCTGTTATCAAGCTTCAGAGATATATATATTGAGGTAACTTGAGACTGTACATACAAACGATCCACTATCCAGCATTTAAAACCTTGGAATACTTTCCCACAGGCTTATACTAGACAAAAACCATATATTCTGCAGTGACCTCAAAACATCGATGAGAACTTGGTTTCTGGATGTGGGAAGAGACCCAGCTGACGTCAGGTTGCCACTTTCGGGGCCCATTTCCTCCCAAACGGCGGGGAGAGTGACTAGAGTCAGAGGACACTGACATAAGAAGACCACTGGTCTTTATATAAAAACTAGACCCCCTGCTTCAACCTATTCTCACCCGTTTTCCCTCTACTTTTTCGTGCTAGCCAGTGGATGAGAGATATATCAGCTTGAATATTTCCATATCCGGCATCTCGTCAACACGTGACTTCGCGTGGGCGGTCAACAGCCACGTCATAATACGTTGCAGAAAACGAGTCCAATTAATTTGAGGGTCTTTTTGGAGAAAGAAACGCTGGTGGGACGTGCTTCCACCCCCCATGCCACTTTTCATCGTTCCCCCTGAATGATTATCACCATATCCTCACTGTATTGTGAGCAACCTTAGCCCTTCGACCTAGAGGGCACCATTTTTCTTCTTTACTTTTCTGATTTCACTTCGCCATGTCCGATTCGACCCTTTATCTTTACACCTCCCTTACTGCGGGGTCGTCCCATATCGTCACCGCTACTGCACGATTGGAGACGATCCTCAAGGCCAACAAACTCCCTTTCCGCGCAATTGATGTAGCCACCGATGACGCAGCCCGGAAGCTCTGGGGTCGTCGCTCCAAGGGTAGGAAGTTACCGGGTCTGGTGAAGTTTGGCACCGTCGTCGGCGTAAGTGGTCTTTGTTCCTTTTACCCCCTCCTGTCCTCTATATGCCGTGGAATTTAGCAATCGGTCGGGGGATGATGAACGATGATCACGTATGACTGACGATCGTGGAACCCTACAGGACCTGGAAGAGATCGAAGAATGGAACGAATATGGTGAGCTGAGAATGCAGGTCAACAGCGTCGAAGATTTTGGTGATAGTATTCCTGTTACGAGTGCCGTGGCCACCCAACCCGAGTCTGGATCCGCTGTATCCACGCCCGCATCAGAACCTTCGGTACCAAAACAGAGTACAATCAAGATCCAGAACCCGCCCGCGAAGGAATCTCAGAAAGACGACTCCATCACGGTCGCACTGCGCCAGGCTAGCGAGGAGGCCGCCGCCAAAGCTAAAGAAAGCAAAGCTGAGAAGGTGACTCCAGCTGCTGAGCAGAAGCAGCCCCTCCCTGCTGCCATCGAGGAGAAAAAGGATGGAGGCGCAGATAGTGTACGTCGGAAATCATCGGTTGCTCCCGAGATCGTCGAGGGGGGCAACCCAAAGCGGCCACCTCTGGTGCCAGAGGTTGCCGCGGTGTCCTCTGCCAATTTTCATGCTGATAATGCCGAAGCACTAGGATTAGTTGAACATCATCGTGGCTCCATCGTTTCTGCCACGTCCCCGGAGGAAAAAGCAAAGGTCGCTCAAGATATCCGTAAGTCGATTTCTGGCGGTCATGCAGAGATGTTGGAGTCGTTGCGCGACGACCAGGCGCAGAAAGCTGGTCAGGAGGAAACCATTGATGAAGAGTCAGAAAGTGGCGAGGATGTCGAGGATGCTATGAATCGAAAGGCAAAGAGACCAGGTTCCAATTGAATGGCCCATGATAAGCCTTCGTTGGACTGCCGCTGATTGCTTTATGATACGATGGACACGCCCCGACATTACTTTTACTAGCCCTGTTCTTTCTCCTTTCTTTTTATTTTCTACTACCCTGTAAAGATACCAGCGCATTGATATCAGTCATTTTTAATCCGATAATTGTGAATTTCAAATGTTGTGTATTCCTTCTTCATCGTTCAGGCGTATTTACTAGTCTATGCAACTCATCTCTAGGTACATTCTCCATACCCGCTGTATTGGATATTACCGTATACCAACCCTTGCCCGCCTATTAAACCATCACATGGTCTAAAGCCAAGACGAAGACTGGGATCAATAAAAGCCTCCGAAAGCGAGGTAAAAAAGTAAAAGTCGGAAGAAAAAGAGGGGGGGGGGTTTTGAAAGAAAAAGAAAAGAAGGGTAACCATTATGGGCTATGCGCGATTAAACTATCGTGTCACATGGAATATGTAGTAAGAAATAATATTCTTAAAGCTTTTGGCGTTTGTTAACAGCTTCGCGAAGCTTTGCGATGACGTCGGCAGGATCCTGGGCGCCAAAAACCGCCGAACCAGCGACAATCACATTGGCTCCAGCTTCAGCGGCCTGGTCCACCGTCCCGAGCCCCAGTCCGCCATCAACCTCGATGTTCAAATTAGGGTATCGCTCACGGAGAGCCTGCACCTTGGGCAGCTCGGAGGCCATGAATTTCTGGCCGCCAAAGCCCGGGTACACGGTCATGACTAGGACCATCTGTGGAGGAGGTTCGTTTAGTATGGATTAAGTTATGGGGGGATGTTGCGGGGGTTTCTTTTATGTAAGAATGATGTCACTTACATCTGGGCGTTCTTTTTCGTCTTCACTCTCAAGGATGTCCCACAGAACGTCCACCGGTGTGTCTGGCTTAATAGCAATACCGGCTTGCATGCCCTCCTCGTGGATGTAACGGATTAATTCCTTCGGGCTCGTCTTGCGAGTGGTTGTCGAGTCGGCGGGCTCGGTGGCTGCGACGGAAGCTACGGCGGCTTCGTAGTGGAAACAGTAGAGGTCGCATCCGGCATTCTTGAACTCTTTGACCCATTTATGTGGCTAGATATAAACATGGGACGATTAGCCGGTCGTTCTTCGAAATTGTACGGAATAACCGGAAAGCTTAAAAGGTGATGCGCGAAAACGGTGCGGGTTATTGAAGCTTCAGGAGCAGGTATTTCTCACCTCCATGATCATCATATGGCAGTCAAAGGTACCCCGGCCATGGGGCTGGGTTGGACGGTCGACGTGAGACCGGATCTTGGTGACAACGGGAGCTCCGAAGGTGATGTTTGGGACGAAGTGGCCGTCCATAATGTCGACATGGAGCCAGTCTGAGCCCTGGGCCATCTTCGTTGAGCATTCGCTTCCTAGAGTCGCGAAATCCGCGCTCAGGATGGACGGGGCAATGATCGCCGGCGGGGACATGATGTCTGGTAGGTTCAGGAGTTTGTATGAAGGAAAGGAAGCAATTGACGGGCACGGCGGGGCACTGATCAAGGGAAAGGATAAGCTTCAAGGGACGATGGGGAGAGAAGACCGGTTATATACCTGTATCAGGAATGGGCTGTGTGAACAGCACAGGTATGGGGAAAGAGTGGATATGTGTACTCCATCAGTAGGCAGGAAAATGCCCATAAAAAAAATTAATCACCGGCCATTGATATCACCGCCATTTACCGGTCGACGTCACTCCGAACAGCCAAATCCGGCAAGTTGGATATTGATGATAAGGGCTAGGGCCAAGACTTTCACGTGGACCACCCCGGTGGGGGGTTGCATTAGGGGGAGCTTCGATGCCTGAACGGAGATCGAGACTCAGGCCAGACAGGATCACGGGAACCGGCTTCCTGCCATAGATATGCCGTTGACCACTTTGGCCGCTGCTTCATTGGTAATCTCTTGACTTGACTCAACACTGACTTAAATTAGTGCCAGTTCACCTCCGGCGGCCCAATTTCCGATGTATTGGTCGGCTGACCTCGTCGTACACCGGTAGTCAACCAGTTGTTGGGCTGGTTAGAAGCGGAATGACTACTTTTGTCTTTCCAGAGAGACTGGTGATGATGAAGACAATGTCCGACAACCATACTTGCTACCTAACCATCATTAATTAACCGCCTTTCCAAAATAACGTTGGGTGGGGATGACACGATCTACTGATTAATCAGAACACCCCTCAACAGAAGTTCTAAAGATAGATTGCCCGGCGCTTGTTGTTCACCAATCACACTCAACTTAGCTTCCAGTCGCTAAGCATCATTCGTCAAGAGCCGTTCTCTGCACGCGCCCCCCACCTATTGGTGTGATATCTGTCCAGCGTGCTGGATGTCACTTCTGTTGTACCTCTCAGAGTGCTGGAAGTCCTTCAGGGGTGAAGCGCCGCCTTTATAGCAACCAATGGTAGCCTCTCTGAATTGCCTATTTCCAAGGATCCCCGGCTTGTCGTGCGCAATGTTGCAGTAGTTTCTGCACAGATGATGGGTGGCGTGGACGGCGTCTCCAGATCTTCCCCTCTTTCTCTCTCAGACCTGGGTGTATTTATCAGAGCCATGCGCCACGGATCGATCGTGATCATCACCTACTTCTTTGTGGTCATTTTACCCTAATTTTCTTTTTCCTTCTTGTTAGTTTTGAACATTTGTGCCTTCGGCTCTGTGAGCTAGGCTGTCCTTCGTTGTATCCTTTGCTTGCGCTGGTGGACCCGTTGATCGGTGTCGAACGCAGTTGAAATAATATACCCTTAGAACGTTTCACTTTTGGCAGCATCGGCTTATGCTGTAATTCCTTATTCTCTATCGAGAGAGAAGATAAAGAACCACACATAGGGAAACATGACTGAATCATTGCGCTCTGCAACAGCCAGATGCCCGCCTCCTCGGCAGGCCCGAGGGACGAGGCTTAATACCATAATTGAGGATTCTCGCGAGGGGGAATACTCGGAAACCCCGCGTCACCGAGGAGCTGGTCTGGACAAGACTGCTTCTCAGCCACAGTTAAGGTTGAAGACCAGTGGTCTGGCGCTGGCGTCTAGACTAAACCGTCTGCTGTCTCCCTTGTCTGCTGGAACTACCTCCTCTTGCTCAGATACAGAATGGCAAAATCAAATGCAAACATTTGATGATCTGTACGATGCAACCGACGAGGAATCTGAGATGAGTGATGAGTGCACTTCGATCTCTAGTACTCGCCCACCAAGTCTGGTGACGCCTACGACGAGAAATTCGATTTCCCCGACTAGTCGCAATCGCTATCCCAGTCTTACGATTCCCTCGCCGTCAATGTGGCCGTCTCTTCAGGGCGCCCCGAAAAGTTCACCAGTTCCCCCAACGCCGCCCCCAAAGATCCCAGTTTCCCCAGCAGCTTTATCATTGCTTGGCCATTCTGTACCGGCCGCGCATGCTCCTCCATCGCTGGATGGTAGTGTCTCATCGGACCAAGTCTCCAACATTAGTGCTCCAGCTACTCCAGATGTCCAGTCACTTCCTGATAATGACTGGAATCCGCATGAAATCCTTGTACGACCGGACGTCGAAGGTGAAGAAGATGCAGATCTTCAAAATCCAGAGACAGGATCAGATTTACAAAGTATTGAAATCGCAATCGAAGACACCGAAGAGGATTGGCGACAGTTTCTCGGAAACTTCCCTCGAATTCCTGGCCAGGCGAGATCGCCCCCCGTTGCTGACCCTGTCCGAGAAGATACACCCTCTGACACAGGCGTGCATCTTCCTGAAGATGCGTTGGCAATGTTAAAACACATTCCGCTGGATATGACCCCAGATCCTTGGTCAGAGACTTCTGAAAGTAATGAAGAGATGTGGCAGATCGAAACGCCAGAGCGACCACGCAGTGCTGACGATGCGACCCCCGCATCGGACCTCTCTGGATATAGCTTCAGTAGACTCAGTATACCCTCCCCAGGTGGCTTCTTTGCCTCCCTTGGCCCAAGGGCTCGTCACACTTGGTCGATTCCCAAGTTAAACAACATTCCTTCATCTGCCATTGCTGAGAGGTTTTACGATCTTCCATTCACCCGGACCGAAGGGGAAATCGTTGAGCAGGTCATTGAATGCCCTCAAAGGTCAACCGATGAACAGCTAACAGCTGTTTATGACCCAAGTGGGCCACCGACTGCGATCAGGATCTCTTCTGAAGATCCGGGGTCCTATATAGAACATGCGGAAAGCCCAGTTAGTGACGATGTTGACGGTGTGTATGAGATTGCAAGACCAAGCATGTATAATCCGGAGGAGCGAGATGAGAACTATGAAGATGAGTTGCAGAAGAAGGCAATGGCAAGCCTAGACCGAACTAGTGTCTGGCTCGCAGCCCAGTCGTCCTATCTTGCTGCCCTGTGTGAAACAAATCCCGCCAATACCCCGGTAAGCGAAAGAGAAGACTGTATGGCGATCGCAGAGAGTGTGACACAAGCCGTAGCACAAGTCGTTTCTCAAAAGTCTGTCCGATTTGACGAGACAATCCCGGAAGCTCCCAGCTCCCAGCCGTCAGCACTGGCAAGCAAGGACTCAATCTATTGGAGGGGGTTCCAATCGATCCGGCGACGTGCTAGCAAGGCAGACACTTTCATGCACCGAACCATGCGCTTCGACGCTGTGCAATCAATTCGACTGGGTCTGCCTAATATGCATATAAATAGTTTGTTGGGCAATTACGAATTAGTTCGTCCCGGACGTCCTCCTTACAGAGGTCCATTCTCTCAAGCACCCAGTGACTCAGTGGTGGGTCCCATCTTGGAGGAAAAGGCGCAGTTCGCCATGCTGGAGAAGGAGCAGTTAGTGCTTACCCAGATTAGCGAGCCCATGTGGGCCATGGACGCACTTCGGTACCTCAATGGTGGTCATCTGATTGCTAGTCCTGCTTTCAGGAGGCTCGCTAAGTCGAAGTCAGTCTCAGCAAACCATCAAAGACCAGGTTCAGGTCGCATTAGAGTTCTAGACCTCGGGGGTCATGCTTCGTGTGAGTGGGCATGGCAGATTGCACATGACTACCCTAGCGTCAAGGTTTACACCGTCTTCACCGAGCACCAGGCGGTTAACCGTGGTATCAAAGGGCCCGCGAACCACCGTCAGATTTCCGTGCAAAGCCTCTGGCAACTGCCATTCTCGAACAATAAGTTTGATGTGATCTCAGCTCGTTCACTGCCTGCCTTATTGAAGAGCGAACGCTCCCCTGGTGATCAGCAAGACGAATATGACCTTTGTCTTAAAGAATGCCGTCGCTGCCTGAAGCCAGGGGGGTTCCTGGAATTCTTCGTGATGGATGCACAGATATTGCGCGCAGGGCCTTACGCATCTGCCACGTCGGTTGAGTTCACATACAACCTTAAGACGCGGGGCTACGACCCAAACCCTACGAAGAACTTCCTCGGGCGTCTGCAGAAAGGAGGATTTGTAGGGACCAAACGAGCTTGGATGTTCTTACCAATGGGCAACGAGCCTGCGGTCTCCCCTGTTCCTAGGGAGACACCCGAGCCTAGAGTCAAGAGCCAAATCAGCGAGTGTGAAGCGGTCCAAGGCCCGATCGGCAGCACAGCCGATGCTGCGAGTGTGACGGGTCTATTTGGTGGGTGGATTTGGGAGCAATGGTTTCTCAAGTTGCAAATTGAGATGGGTCGAGAGCAGGGGAGGCTGTTACAAGGAATTGGAAGCGTTTTCGATGAGGGTCGCAAGAACGGCGCTGGTTGGACATGCTTGTCCGGTTGGGCGATGAAGCCGAGGCAGAGGAAGCAAAACAGGTCCCGAAAGAACCGTGAGAGCTAAGGATTCGCTCACACTTTCACCCCCCTGTTTTTGTCTCTGTTTGGGTCTGTCCTTAGTTTGGTTCTCGTACGTCCAACGATATAAGTTAGCTATGATACCCATATAGCGCCCTGGTGGCGAGTATTAATGTAATGTACAAGATCGATTGACGCCGAAATTCGAGCCTCTTTTCCAAAGCTCATGTTATGCGAGAGCTTTTGAGGAATATAACTAACTTCGGGCGTGTTGGGCAAATGTACGATACAGGAGCAGAGCTCATACCGGAACTATCTTTCAATAACACGTGTAATAATAAAAAGTAACAATACTTTTTGCCTGGAATTAGACACCTATATAGAAGTTGTATTCGTTCGTTGACAGCTTTCTATTGGATTGGGAAGACTCTGAATAACATTGTTTGGTCATTGCTACTAGTAGTGAAGCAAGCTTGCTGAACATGGACACAAAAGTCCATTCTCACGTGACACCCGACCGGCAGCAGATTAGATTGCGACTGACAACATCACATCAACGGCGTTATATTCCCCCACATTTGCGCTCTGTCCATTGTATCCCGAATTGCTCGCTGGGAAGTGCAGGGCAATTGTACTTACCGTCCACACATATACTCCACGAGGCAATGCGATAGCCCTATAAACACCGAAACCCCACCTGCACCGTCAATAACCTTCCCGCCGCAACCATGCTCTTCTTCAGGTATGCCGGCCCACGACTGGTAGATCAAATAAAAGAAGCAAGCTTGTCTGACCCAATACAGTTTCTTCAAGACTCTCACAAACCAGACCGTGATTATCGAGCTCAAAAATGACATTCGCATCCGCGGGATACTGAAATCCGTCGACCAATACCTCAACATCAAGCTCGACGATGTGGACGTCCTGGACCTGGACAAGTACCCTCACCTGTCGTCCGTGAAGAACATGTTTATCCGTGGTAGCGTGGTTCGCTACGTTGTCCTGCCCCGGTCGGAAGTGGATGTCGGTTTGCTGGAGGATGCCACAAGACGAGGTAAGCCTGCGATTTGCGTTTTCGTTCCGCTGGTCCACACCATTATCGAACCATTACTGATATCCGTTCTACTACAGAGGCAGCCAACCAAGCCGGAAAAGCCCGGTGATCGAAGTAATCCGAAATACAAAAAGAGAAGAAAAACCGACCATTCTAGTTTAATCCCTTTACGATGCGACGTCGCTACTGCGTGCTCCCCGGAACGAACTGTCTATGTGAGGATCGCCATGGAGAAGCCTAGGATATGAATACCGGTCTAGGTGGTGGCGGAAATTGAATATATTTTTTGGTCTTTGAGATGTCAAAGGAAGCTAAGAAGGACGCTAAGGATTTGAAGATCCTATTCCTGTCGAATAGAGCTGATGCCTTCCCTGCACGCAGCAGCTTAGGCTATGTCTACACGTATGAGGCACGGGTTCCTTGCCGGTACTTTACAAATTCAGACATCATTCAACCGTACCGGTGAAACTAAGTTGAACTCGAGGCAAATCGTAATCCTTATGTGGTATTTATATCTAGACCCTTATACACCCTCCTAATATATAGATATAGTAAAAAAAGATACTATTATGTAGTGTTTTTGGTAGGTTTAGTTGATATAACGGCCGGGGATAAGGTACGATAAGAGAATCCTCGTGATTGTATATAAATTCGATGTTATTCGGAAGTGTAGCTACAGTTCGCATTTCAGAGAAACAAACACACGTAACTATTACTACTTCCCTAAAAACCTTTTACAGGTTGGCGTCATTCTAACGCCGCCTCGGATTTTGAAGATAAGACCTCATATTCAAGATGATTTTATCGTTTCGAGTACTCGATTGCGGTGATGGCCTGAATGTTGAGCATTTCTTGGGTAAGACAGTCATATGTTTCTCGTCTTAATACCCCATGAACAAGGGAATAGGAAATTGGAAGCAAAACAAGGTATTGTACAAATATCACAAAAGCCTCTCCACATTGTTTCAGTTGAGCATATTTTCCGGTGCTGATTTTGGCCATGTGCTCTAGTAAATTCAAGGGGACTATTGGTGTAGGAAGTAGAACTCGGGGTGCTAGTGAAGCTGTCACCCATAATGGTTGCTATCTCGGAGGTTGAAAGATTCCTAACGATTCAGCCATCGCTGCTGAAGCTCCTGTTTCAACTTTATGAACAATTGCTAATTTAGAAGGTTGTCTGGGTGTCCAGAAGGATCGGATTGAGAGGATTAAGCAGGTATAATACGCAGAGTTTTAAGGAGTAGACCCTCATACATTCATTTTTCATAACTATTGATTTGTTAATTTATATTGATTACCATTTTGTTGACGGAAGCTCTATATTTACTACCTAAATAGAATAGGTGAAGGCCGCACAATTTCCGTTTACACTAGTGCTATACTGTACTGGTGGAACTAATTTATAGAGATCACTGTGGAAGGGATTTCATAGTGTCAGTGGTCAACATCACTTCTTGGGTTATACAAACCACAGGAGCAGTTAAATCATCTAGTAAAGCTCATCGAGCACTATTCTATGCGGGAAGAATTGGGTAACTTATTCGTGATATTTACCCGCAGTATAGGCTTATATCGAATTCCAACTGCCCAATAATGTGGATATTAGAGGACCTTAGAGAATTGATACGCTGGTCCCAAGCTGAATATTGCTCGTAGCAGCTCTCGTTGGCAAATTCTACATCGATAGTCTGAGCTTAATTTGTCCATAAGATGGATACGTTTGTGCTAGAGGGTCCTTCACCTGTCTAGAGCTCTATTTTGTTCACTGATTTAGCAAAAGTTCCAAGGACGGTTTTCTCTTTCTGCTCCATCTCTCCTTGTCACCGGGTCCAGACAAAATAAGGATTGACAGATTGAGAGCTCTTTCTTGATCTTTTGGATGGTGGTGCTTCCACCTGAGAGCGCAATGTTAGGGTTTGTTTAAAAGCTTTGGTGAGCCCCTAGCGAGCTTGTATGCCGCTTTTGACTGAGTTTCAGTCAGCGGGCCTCAATATCGCACGAGAAAAACGCCAGTTCTCCCTTAACTTTCTTGAAAAGGACCAGGATCCAAAAGGCGACCAAAGGTCAGGTGCACTTACCCAGTCTATGGCTGATTAGATGCGAAAAAAAACTGGAAGCAATGATGTCGACGAACTGTGTCTATAACAAAGTGGTGTGGATCAATAGGAATTCAGCAGTATCAGACATAATATCTCCTGGTACGTTGTTGCATAATAATCTGTAGCAACCAAAAGCCTTCTGACAGAGCTGATATGAACCTATCTTGTGTAGCAAGGCCAAGAGCAGGAGCGTTCTGTTTTTGTGGTATGGCTCCGGAAACAGGCCTTTCATAGCTCCTAACGTACAAGCGAGGATGTAGGTTAATGATTCTTGAGCTGGGTCATAAACATACACTAATGTAACTTCATTGGAACGTTCTTCTTGCACGCATCACCTTTTCATTGTTGATTGGTTTGTACCTTCACTGGCCTCGTCCGCATGTCTACTACTCGCCATACCCTTTGTGAGGATTTCTGAAATATGAATCGAGTAAGGATTAAGGCTCTTCAAATCAACATTGCGCCAATCTGATCGATTCTATCCCTAGATCGCCGGTAAGCTAAGTACAGCCTTCTGTGACTGCGAAGGCACTTGTAAAAACCACGTTTCGTTGTTATCATACTATGAGTTCTGTACGAGCTTCTCTTCCTCAACTACCAGCCTGAGCCAATTCACCAAGTTGGTACCGCAGGTTGGGACAACCTCTTCGTGAAAGCTTTCCGCATCTCTCGTATAGTCTGACCAGCTCGAATCCCTCCCCCAGGCAGCAGTTAATCCCAACCAAGATCTTTGTGAGCACACGTGAAACCGAACGGATCTCTTCAGACAGCTCTGAGTAATGATTCCAAAGCTGTGTCAGGCTCGGGGGGCCTGGCGGCAAAGCAATCGCCTCTCGATTTCTCCATCCATGTGAATCTTGCTATGCCGTAAGGTCCTTGGATATAGTATGGCCCAAGAGCCATTGCCACCATTAACAGGTCACTCATAGCTTTCCATTCACTGAATTGGAGGGCCCGCAAATCAGAGTGCAGCATCGGTTCCACCGTGCCAAAGAGAGATTCTTGACCTTCTCTAGCCTTTTCTATTTGCCCCCCGGCTCTTGGATCTTTGAAATGACGTACACACTGACGTTTATCTTTGTATAATTCATCCATGCGCATGGCTTAGTATCTAATTATCTATCGTAGGTTTTAACTTGGTTCGTTTCGTTTGATGTAGAAACTTGGACGACTTTTAGGGTACCACTTGGGATCCTTGCACATCTATTTTGGGAATCTGCGCGATGTTTTCTTGCTGCAGTGTATTATCTCCAATGCATATGGCTTTTCTAGTTCCAAGTCGAGGACACCTTCCGGATGCCAAACTTGACATTTTCAGTGTTTCCACCATGCGAGAATAGCTGCGCGAAAGTCGCATTTCTGCTGGGGAATATCTGGGCGGTCAGAGTCGACTCTCCCTGACCTCCAAATACTTCAACACTCGACCAATCGACCAGTATCCGAAGGTGTACAATTCCCTCGGAATTTGGAACCAATGGCGCATGGTATACCCTCGCGAAGGTCTCGTCAAAAGAGACATCACCTGACTTTGTTCGATCGACGAAGATATGCTGGCTTGTAACGTTGTAGCCAATTCGGGTTTGCTGTTTCCAGTCAGAGGTCGCTTGGACAATGATTCCGAACTCAGCTGCACCGCAGGGAGAGAATTCCAAGTCGATATCTAGCGTTTTACCCACAGAGCCGAGATCCTTCTTTCCTTCAGCGAATGACTTCCAAACTGAGTTTCTCGGGTGGCTCTCGATCGATTCCAAGTTGGAATACGGTTGCTGAATCAAGGTTGGCTTCTGGCCGATTGTCTTCAAGGACAGGTGTCGAGGAGTCGCCATTCCGCCGTGCCAAGGGTATGCTGGGATTTTCGCGTTGTACTGCCAATTACTCATCCATGCAATCACACTACGATCAGTGTCCGGCAGACCGTTATATGTAGCAGCGGCGTAGTAGTCTGGACCCCAATCCATCCAATTCGCGGTCTTGTTCCCCGGGTGAACACTTTCATCATCGGCAACAAAAGTCGTTCCGTTAAAGTCCCCAATGAAGTATTGTGTTCCCGAACCGACTGTGCCTGGTGGCCCTCCAGGGTTGAGTCCCAACACTAAGACCCATTTTATGTTCGACGCATCGTTGTCGAGAGCGAGAGGGAATAAGTTAGGGCATTCCCACACACCACCGACGGCGTTGAATGGCCCAAATTCACTCGCAACTTCCCAGTCCTTCAAATTGCCGGAGGTCCAAAGTACAAGCTTATGCAACTTGGCCACAGCAGTCACCATGATCCATTTGTGGGTTTGTTCATGCCAAAACACGAATGGGTCTCGAAAGTTCTCCCATTCTTCTTGGTATGGTGCTGGTGGGACTTGGAGAATAGGATTTCCGGCGTCATAGGTTGTCCATGTCATACCATCGTCTATGCTGTATGCAATTGACTGGGATTGCTGATTGGCTTTCACCTTCTTGCCACTAGGTAGAGTCTGCGTAACATCGTACTTACCAGATATGCGAGTTAGTCGATTTGTGTTTAGCTCGACGAAGGCACAAATAGACTTACGAAGGAAGTGTACACGGCAACCAAAGGGGTCTTGCCGTTGGCTCCAAACCCACTGGTGTTGTGTACGTCGGCAACGGCGCTGCCAGTGAAGAACATCTCAGTCACATTTTGGGGGAAACCTCGGGCAAGGAGGGCAACGGGCTCCTCTTTCCAATGAGTCAAGTCATGACTCGTCGCATGGCCCCAGGACAAGTTACCCCACTCAATTCCCGCCGGATTGTGTTGAAAAAAGAGGTGGTATGTTCCATTGTGGTATACTAGCCCAGAAGGGTCATTCGTCCACCCTTTGGCAGGGGAGAAATGGAACTGGGGTCGGTAGGGTTCCTTATAGTCCATAGCCCATGTGGGGCTGGCCAGAAGGCCCAAGCCGAGAGCTTTCAAGAGAGCGACCATGGTATAATCATGAATATTGGGAAAGAGAAATGATTTGGCTGGATCTCACAGAATCATCATTTTTATAGATCGTATTTAGAACACAACGACACGTGATCTCATTCCCCAGGGGGCCCAAACATTCTCCAAGCCGAAGTTTCTTCGGAGAAATATGAACTTAGTTCCACAATGCTATCTCATTGTCCTTGTAGTGGAGGTAATTTCTTGGCGCGGTGCACTGGCAGAGTAATTCAGACGATGTTGGTGCTTCATGTAGACGTCTGAACCCCCAATATAAGAGAAAATGCACGAAGCCTGAACACCCTTCGACTCGATCAATGGTGAATAATTTAGACACAAGTGCATCAATCTCATCTCGAATAGAATAGATAAATTGAAGAAGAAACTTATGTTTTTACCAAATTCCGAACACTTCGTAAATTTTGGTGGTGCGAATATGGATTTGTGCATGCTGCAGGCTATTTTGACGATCGTCTCCAGGAAACGAATCGAACATGGCGGCCGCCAGATTTTCACATTACAAATATGCCACTGACATTACCCTAGCTGCCATGGGCCATTTCATGACCCATCGTCTCGCGGTATTATCGTCAAGGATTTAGCCGCGGACAGTCAACTCCATAATTACCCTTGGCTCCGATGAATCTCCGCAATCTCACCACCCCTACTTCAAGGGAGATCGGCATCCCCAGACCCGCTATCTGACCGATAAATTTACCGACAGAGCCCAGTGCCGAACGAGCCGATGAGCGGTGTGACGGCTTGACCCGAAGCACATCTCCGATATTCGCCCCGTCATCTGTGCGTCACTGATGGTGTCTGATGTTGAGCAGTGTATATAATTCCGAAATCACTGGCTTGGCTTTGACTGCAAGCTGCAACGTGGGTAACATACGATTGAGTCTGTTGTCTGATGTTGTGTACGGATTGCTTGGTTGAAGTGTTTGACCAGACCAAGTAGGAATATTTGGAGAAAACATGATATCCCACGTTAAGTTGGTTCTGAGTGTATTTGTTTTGGGTAATGGTGATCTGCGCTATGGAGGGCATGCTTTTGAACTCTTATGTTTCGGAAATGCCAAAGACATGGCCTGTGTAAGATGAAAATAGCAACCGGCACATATACATGCCGGGGGGGGATCAGAAGTCAGAACCCACTCCGGAATCCATGATGCAGTTCCAAAGTCCAATCCAGCTGAATTTTGGTCATTGAGAACAATCTGTGGTTGGAATTAAAAGTTTCGAGCATAGCAAGTAGCTCACTTGGCTTAGAAAAATGGCACGTAAGAAAGGCAAATCAATCGAAACGGATTTGTGGTGGAGCGATGAAACACGATTTAAAAACTTCAAAATAGAAAGAGTGGGAGCAGCAATTAGATACTTTCAAGGTAAGTTAAATTCAGCGAGGGCTTTTGGTCTCGTCAAGCTTGTGCTTAAAATACTGGGAATACACTATGCTGCAATTTTGAATATGGGCTCCCCTAAGAAGCTGAGATCCACACTCCCAAACCCATTCCCAGGGGTGTCTAGAGGGACAACGCCACCGTTAGACTTTTGCATTCGAGGGGCATCTGCAATCATTGGGTTTGTCCACTCTGCATAGCAGTCAACAGCACGGAGTCTATCAGGTCCAGTGGACGCGGCCATTTGAAGATTCTCCGCAGTCGTAAGCGCGCATCCCCAACTATCGTCAATAGTAACCATCATGTCAAGAGCAACCGCGGCATCACGCATGACTCGGGCCTTCGTAAACCCGCCGACGCGCGAAATTTTAATGTTGACTCCCGTGATACCCGCCGCGTGGGCCGCTGCTAGATCGGCCATGGTGAAAATGCACTCGTCGAGAATAATTGGCACTCCAGTTCGCCGACCGACCTCGGCAGAATCCGCTAGGGTTCGGCATGGTTGTTCCAAAGGCATAAGGCGTAGGTCATGTTGCCCCAGTGCTCGGCAGTATGTCAAGGCCTGTTCAAGGGTCCATCCCGCGTTTGCATCTGGGAAGAGCTTGATATGTTCGGGCAGTGCTTCAAGAATCGCAGGCATCCACCGGGCATCCTCCAGAGGATCATCTCCGACTGTCAATTGCATGACTACCACACCTTTCTATGATTCAGCCAATGCCTTCTTGACAGCAATAGAAGGCTCTCCAAATCCAATAACACAAAAGGCTGACGGCTCTTTGGTAAGGCAGCCACCAAGCAGAACGTGAGTTGGTAGCCCCACTGACTTTCCCAGGATATCCCAACAGGCCATATCTATAATCGATTTCGCAGCAATGCCTGACATCATCGCGCGATAAAGCATTGCACTTATAGCTGCCGGTGACCGAGGGTCAAGGCCCAAAATCCCCGGCCCAAGCTCCTTCAGAGCAGCGAGCTCGCCGGTGAACGAACTTGGTAGATAGTCACTACCTAACGGGGCATTTTCAGCCCAGCCTTCGATGCCGCTGTCGGTACGGATACGAATCACGAGAGACGGCTCGCCATCATTCACTCGTCCTCCTGACATAGCATAGGTGCCATAGTTATAATTGGCCTTGTAGGTAAAGATGGTAAGCTCGGTAATACGCATTTTGCTGCTACAGGAATAATGTCAGTGAGTACGTGACAATAGCTCGACCATCGAATCAAGTACGTACATTGGTCGGGGGTGGATGATTGGTGATAATTTGACCCTGTCCAGTGAAACTCTTCTTTACGACTGGAAAACAGAGCTGTCCAATACAAGGGTCGGACATTTTGTATATAATGATGACATCTATCCCATGGAAGAGTCTCCAAAGTCGAGGTGGAGTACAAAGCTTTGACTCTATTGGGGCGAGAGGGGAGCGCAAGTTTGACAGCTATGCTGGTGGGTCTATCGGATGTTGTGGCCGACGCTGGGGCCCTATGGTCGTCTAGTGTGGGTATATCTAACATCAATAAAACTTAGACCCCCTTGGCAGGGCATTGCCGGAGTATCTTCGGCTCTCATCTGATCAGCGCGGCTATTAAATAACGGAAAAGGGACTAGTGTCACGCCTCGACATACAGCCCTGGGAGAGATAGTGACATCTAATCCTGCAATTTCATCTTTATCGTTCATGGAACAGGAATTCTGATGCGGGGTATGGTAATCGTTTCTTGAGAATATTCTACAAATAATATAGGGAATAATATGATGAAACACACACAATCATACGGGAGATAAGGCTCGAGAGAGCGGAGAGGATACCTCCAAGTATGACCTTCAAACTATCATCCTTTAACAAGTATTTCGTAGTAAAGGAGGCCAAGGGCATAAAAGGTTGGATGTATGATCCAATCTATTAGAGGAAAGGCTACTTCTCCTCCGACAATCTAGCTGTCTTCTCTCAACGCGCCTTCTGACTACATGCGGTGCACCCCGAGTTTTCTTCCGGTTCATGTCATTGCTATGTTCACCAACCATCTGTTTGCTGAGATTTATACCACAAGTCGCTGCAATCGCTCGACGAGTCTTCATTATCGCAAGATATATCAAGATGCTAAACAGATTTCGACTACCACCATAAGTATCGAGCAGCCCACTACAGACACTCGAACCTTGGGACATCGTGTTTGGCCTAAAGGTGTCTGAGCGAGATTCACTCATAATCTCTTTCCGTTATGGAATTCCTCGCTGAGCTAATAATACGAACTTTGTCGGGCTTTCGCCGGAGAGAATTGGGAGGCGTTGAGCGGAGAGCTTTCGGCGAAATTGGACAGCACCCCAGAGTTTATGGCAAATTGGGGAGCATCGGGGAAACTCTATGCTCCGTTCTAACCCCGCGGGGAAAGGGTCTCCCGCGAACTGTACGCATTGAGTACCTATAGGATACCGAATAGTAAATACCCTATAGTAGAATGCAAGGGACATTGTACTTAAAGCTCCCCATGGCCCTGGATCTACTTTGCTCGCACTGAGGACTGAAATAGATCACATTCATTGACATTCACTACCCAAGATTCGCACCATGTCTTTCAAAGATAGAAAAGATGATGGGGACTCAGTTGACGTCCAACATATAGATGTATTACCAGATGGCCAAACAAGGAACGCAATCAACACTTGTCTGATCGTCACTTGCACAGTGGTTGGTGCTGCGTCGTTCCTGTTTGGCTTCGACGACAAAATCATCTCCCCAGTTGCTGCATTGCCAGCCTTTGTGAGTGTGGCCTGACCTGCCCCATGATGAGGAAAGTTACTCATCCAGTTTCAGGTAATGAAGTTTCAAGGGCTCAACTCGGCCAGTGGCGCGTACGTCCTCACAGCTCGCAATCAAAATCTGGTGTTTTCCCTTCCGCTTGTTGGTTCTGTGACCGGCGGTCTCCTTGCCTCGCCCTTGAACTTCCGCTTTGGCCGCAAATGGCCTTTGCTTCTTGCCTACGTGACCTCTATTGGGGGCGGATTGCTTCAAGTCTTTGCTCCAAACTTAGCATGCTTTGTTGGCGGACGTTCAATCAACGGAGTGGCGTTGGGGCTTGCGAATGCTACCTACCCCTTGTATATCTCTGAGGTAATCCCGACTCTCAGTTGTCACTGCTGCTGGAATACTGACGGCACAGCTAGGTGGTCCCTTCAGCTATACGAGGAAGAGCCGTCAGCGCAGCCAACATTCTAAACCTCGCAGCCGGGGTGGTTGGTACCGTTGTGGTCTTCGGGACCGAGAAGATCAATGGGCCCTTAGCCTTCCAGATCCCACTTGCTGTTCAATGTGCTTTGCCAGTCATTCTCTTCTTTCTGACAACTCTGCTTCCTGAAAGTCCACAATGGCTTGCTGGCAAAGGTGATATGGAACGAGCACGACGCAATTTGCGCAAATTACGAGGCTGCAGCGATGAAGCAGTGGATAATGAGCTTCGCGTAATGACGATTTCTTATCAAAACGAGCAAGAATTGCAATCTCAGGCCAAGTTCTGGCACATCTTCCAGCCTCAACATCTTGGAAGAACTCTGACCGCAGGGTCCTTTTTCTCCTTGAACCAAATATCAGGCATCATTTTGTCGACAACGTACACAACAGTCTTTCTGACGGAGCTGGGAATTGGAAACCCATTCTCCTTGACAATCATCGCCTCCTGCTGTACACTTGCCGGGACTATTGCAGCTCCTTTCGTTATTGACCGTGCCGGCCGGCGTCCGACTGCATTTGTTGGAATGGCAATTCTGTTCGTCATAGACGCCGTGGCCGGTGGCCTAGCCTTTATTCAAGGAAACAGCCAAGCTACCATGGCCATTGCTGCGTTATCCTTCATTTTCAATTTCTTCTGGGCATCTTCATTCTACTCGTTGTCAAATCTGATGCCTTCCGAGATGGCCACTCCCAAGCTACGTCATCATACCATGTCTTATACAGTCGCCTGTGCACAAACCACAGCGGTGATTACCACGTTGGTTGTCCCACAGCTCACATCAGCGGATGCTGCAAACCTTGGGGCGAAGACATACCTCGTTTTTGCAGGTTGCATGGCTGGTATAATAGTGTTTTTCTTTTTCTCACTCCCAGAAACACGAGGTCGGACTTTCGCTGAGATTGATGAGATGTATGCGGCTAAGATACCTATGTGGAAGTGGAGGTCGTATGAAACCTCGCTGGAGCTGAGGCAACGTGTCTCTAAGGGCGACTGCAATGAGTAAAGTATCTGGCAATCTATCAAGGAAGGAGCGAGTAGGGTATCCATGATATTAGGCAATGACTGAGACTATCTACCAGGTTGTGCCGTTGTGATTATCGTCATATTTATATATCATAGAAGGCAGAGCGAACCGAGTTCGATTTAGTTACTTATTGTGATCCAAATAATAGAAATAATATATAGCGCAGATTACTTTGCATTATATATGAGAGGTGAATAAACTCAGGCCTTCACTGGAACTTATTTTCCATCGAGGTTTAATGAATTTCTTTTCCTAAACACATTGGATTTGTTGGAACATTATTAATTCCTTCTAAGACCCCTATCAACTCTCACAGTAGTCCTTAATCAGTCGATTCACATCTAGTAGATATATTAGTGTCTGTAATCGAAAACCCAATACACTTTCCCCACCTTATAATATTGCGTTGATGCAAGGCCCTAGGAGCCTCTCTGATCTCTGTCGAGATTTTGGGATTACCGTGAGCAGCAATTTGTGCGAGAAGACTAGAATTTGAAACGCTAAATTGGCCTGGAACGTATCTACGTGGTGTTAAGCCGAATGTAGAAACCATGATGGTCTAGAATCAAAGCTTGTTCCAATCTCAAGCTTCCAGTGGTTTAAAAGTTCGACAGTACCACAGCCCCATATGGGTGCAGCTTAATATGGCCTTCCACGCGATCAATCTCGCCTTGGTTCGAAATTAACACCGAGAAACCCTCATACCTTCTGACAGGGACCGCGTGGGTTTGATCAGAAAAATTCAACAACACCACGGCCCTCTTCTTCGCCTCGCTCCAGCTGCGCTCATACCCTAGAACCATCTCACCCGTTTCAGTTTCTTCCAGGGCACAGAAGGATCCATAGACGAAAAGATCAGAGTATTCTTTTCGCAACGCAAGCATGCGTTTCCAGTAGGCCAGGATGCTGTTGGGGTCCTCGAGCTGACTGGCAACGTTCCATTCACCGTAGTCTTTGTTAATGGTCATCCATGGCCTAGATTCAGCCCTAGTGAAGCCAGCATTAGGCGAGTTGTCCCATTGCATCGGCAGTCGTCCGTGATCCCTTGACTTCCGTTGCAGCTCCCGTAGGACATCATCCATGCTGGAAATATCGCCGCCCCTTGCTTTTAGTACTTCCATGTAGTAGTTCCGTCCCTCCACATCGATGTATGCGTCGATACCATAATCCTTGCTCAGATTCGCCATGCCGATCTCTTGGCCAGCAAGTATGAAGGGGGTGCCACTCAAAGTAGTTAGGTAAGTTGCCAGCATTGTCGCCGCAGTTGAGCGGTGTTCAGGGAGGTCAGAGGCATATCGAGAGAGCGAGCGGCCACTATCATGATTATCGAGATAGACGGTGTTCCACCCTCCAACCTTTGGCATGGTAGTTTGCCAAAGATTAGTAATTTTGCGGATCTTTCGGGGATGAAAATCATTTCGCTCGTACTTTGCGTTCGGTCCGAAGTCTATGTCCACAATGTCGCCAGTGAAGAGCATGTTCAGCTCATGTCGATCTTGGGCGACATACTCGCTGACCGACCTTTCGTCCTTGATGAAGCCAAGCTCCCCAACCGTCATCACGTCGTACATATCAAAGACTTCTGTTCTCATTTCGCGGATATAATCATGCATTTTCGGTCCGGAAGCAAAATATTCGGCGCCGGATTGGTAGGGCCCGTCATTGACGATCTTACCATCCGGGAGATCGGGGTGCTTGGACATCAGATTCATGCTGTCGATGCGAAACCCATCCACCCCTCGATCGAGCCAGAAGCGCATGTCATCTTGGGTGGCTCTGCGCATGGCTGCGTTTTCCCAGTTGAGATCGGGCTGGCTGGGCAGAAAGAGTGCGAGATAGTACTGGCCGGTAGGCTCGTCAAAGGCCCATGCACTACCACCGAACATAGATTTCCAATTGTTGGGCTCCTTCCGGTTGCCCTGGGCATCATATTTAGGATCACGCCAGATGTACCAGTCACGTTTGGCGTTCGTTCGGGAGCTGCGGGACTCTTTGAACCACGAATGCTGGTCGCTTGTGTGATTGACGACAAGGTCCATGAGGATACGCATATCATGTGCGTGAAGCTGGCTGATCAACTCTTCGACGTCCTCGACGGTGCCGTAAGGGGCGTGGATGGAGCGGTAGTCGGCGACATCATAACCCATGTCTTTTTGAGGTGAAGCAAAGATCGGGGAGAGCCATATCCCGTCTACTCCTAGAGACTTGATATAAGGTACCTTACTGATAATACCGGGAATGTCCCCAAGCCCATCACCGTCGCTGTCGAGGAAGCTAGCGGGATAAATCTGGTAAATGACGGCCTCTTTCCACCAGGTTTTCCCGACAGAAGAAGAAGTCATGGTAAAGGATGTGAACAATATTCTCGTCGTAAATGGAATTGGGGAACATCAAAGTAAAGAGCGATATGTTCTTGTGCCTGTAGTGACAAATTACAGTCAAGGGGCAGTCGAAATTTAAATGCCATACTTCAAGACAACAGGCTCAATACCAAGACCTCAGGATTACTGGCTTCAGATACCTGGGGAGAACCTGGGGACAGCTCGGGGAAACATGTAGCATTAAAAAATTGGAGGCCCATGCATTTGAGATTAACTGCTTTCGTCACCTGGTTTCTCCGGGGAGGCTCCGATGCAGTCCAACCACAGCTAGACGATGGTTCCACTGCAGATCCGCGGGGGTACTCCACAAAATTCGCTTCCGGGGCGCTTGGGGCTGACATGACAGTTGCTCCCAAAGGTTTTGTACAAACCTTTCAGGGGTCTAAGAAGAGCTAAAGTGGTTTCTCAGGGAGAATGTCGGCGAAGCAGCCATTGGTAGATTCCCCGGTGATTCCCCGGTCGTCATAGTTGTCAACATTCAAGCCTTTAAAATTGGACAAATGCCTTCGCACACTATTATGTCTTCCTCTATTGCCTTTGAACACAAACAACACAAACTCAGGATGAGTACGTCAGCCCGCGAGGAAATCTTGCATAGCTCTGCATCCTCTGGCTCAACAGGGCTCACTACTCCTGAGAGCCTTACGGCCGACCTCCCAACGTCTACAAGATGGCGTCCAGCTTTCCACTTGATGCCTCAAGAAGGATGGATCAATGACCCATGCGCTCCTGGGTATGATCCATCCACTGGAATGTACTATCTCTCCTTTCAGTGGAATCCCAATGGTCCTGACTGGGGTGATATCGCTTGGGGCACTGCGACTTCTCACGATCTGGTTTCGTGGAAAGTCATAAAGCAACCCGTTCTTCTTCCAGAAAATGACTATGACTCCAAAGGCGTCTTTACTGGGTGTTTCGTCAAGGGGCAGGATGAGTCACTTAACTATATATACACCTCAGTCAGCGCCCTCCCGATCCATTATACCCTCGACCATCCAAGGGGCTGTGAGACATTGAGCGTTGCGACCTCTTCAGATATGGGCAAAACATGGCGAAAAAGTGATCTAAATCCTATCCTTGGAGGCGAACCTGAAGGCCTCGATGTCACTGGTTGGAGAGATCCGTTCTGTGGTCCATGGCCCAACATGAGTAAGACCCTAGGGTTGGACCCGAAGGAGACCATGTTCGGGATCATTTCTGGAGGCATTAGAAATATAACCCCCACCAGCTTCCTTTACAGAGTCAACCCAAACGATTTCACTGACTGGAAATACATCGGCCCTATCGCCAATCCTGGTCTGAATTTTAGACCATCACGGTGGTCGGGCGATCTTGGCAAGAACTGGGAGGTTACTAACTTTCTGTCGCTACGTGATGGGAATGACCCCCACTCAATCTCTGACTTTCTCATCATGGGAACTGAAGGATGCCTTGAGGACATCTCAAAATGGCCCCCGAGCACTGCAAGTCCATCACGCCCAAGACGAAACCAGCTTTGGATGTCAGGTGACCTTGGAAAAGATGAGTCTAATGGCTCTGCCAGTATGTCATTTAACTTTGGAGGCCACCTTGACCATGGATGCTTGTACGCTGCCAACTCATTTTTTGACCCCCGAAGTCAGAGCCATATCTTCTGGGGTTGGATCACTGAAGACGACCTGTGCGATGATCTCCGTCACCAACAAGGATGGAGTGGAGTTTTATCGATGCCTCGACAACTCTATTTGCAGACTCTGCGCAATGTAGTGGGCTCTTTGGTCTCCGATTTGCCCTGTATCACTTCTATTAAGACCCATTCCGTGAACGGAGGAGCTTCCACTATTCAGACCCTTGCAAGTGGACCCTATCAGCCTCTGGTTCAACATCTTCGAAGCGCCCCAAGCGTGCAGCTCTCCCAATTGGGGAGGTTGTGTCTTGGAGCCAGTGCCAGCGGAGTGGAATTATTACCAGAGAAAGGGCTGAGCAAGCAATGGGAGCTTGAGTGTTCATTCAAGATCTCCCAAAAGTGCTCCAACGTGGGAGTATCGATTAATCATTCGCGAGGTGAGGAGTGATAAGCGAATTGTTTGTGAGAATACGTACTAATCAAATGGGTAGACTCCGAACGTGCAACTATAATGTTATTTGAGCCACAGCTTGAAACATTTACAGTTTTACGGCCAAGCTTCTCTGGACGTGATGCATCTTTGATCAACAGTTCACCTGAAGTAGCACCACACACCTTGTTCACAGTCTCCGACCCCAGTAGCGGGGAAGAATGTACGGAAACTTTGGATATCCACGCATGGCGAGACAATTCGGTTCTGGAGATATTCGTAAATGGCCGGACTGCGATCTCCACGCGACTGTATGCCGCGGAAGAAACAATCGGTGTGCGATTCTTCGCCCACGATAGGGCTTCAACTACTCATGGACTTCGGACGAGTCATACGGGCTCAACGGAACTGCAGTTTGCGAAAGTGTGGGATGGAATTGCGAGCTAAGTAGACAATAATTTTCTCACTGTGGATATCATCTCAATTCGTCTTCTTGGCTCTTTTTTCGGTGAATGCTAGTCATGCGTTATTCGCTGCTTGGCTGTTGGAAGCGCAGTAGCGACTTGGCGGTGACTATCTCAGTAAAACCTTTCGTACTAGCAAACGAAAGTAGAATAGACCTTGGGGTGGCCTCACCTTCCACTATGGGAATTCATGGCTGTACATATGTGGGAATAAACTGACTGGAGTATTGTCAATCAACGCACAAAGGTCAAAGAACGTGCGTCATTAGTATATCACTCAGCGAGGAGGGTACCTAAAACGACCGACATATGAAGTGAGAAGGTCACAGGTATCACCGCACGCAAGGAATATAGGCTACCATCACCAAGGTAGGAATCAGGGCCGCATCGCTGCTAGCGTTCTCTAGGTGACAGAGTCCGACCGATTACTACGTGTCATACATGCCCCCGACAATATGCATGACTGGGGAGCCAATTCAAGAGGTGTACTCCAACCACTGCAGGAATTTAACATGGAATTTGATTTGGGTGCTGCGTTCCATGGCCGCTGTTTGGTCTACCGAAGCAGGAACATGCTGATTTAGGAGTGAGGTGTTTTAATACCAATGAAAGAAAAAAAAATATGTATATGTATATCACAGTCAACTTGTATGTTATCCTGGAAACGAGAGACCACTCTAAAATAAAAGTCATAGTTTAGTATAATAGTGCACAAATATTGTGTACTCCTACATGTCGCATACCTCGGCTGTTGACTTCACTAGATTAGACCAAAATACTATACTAAGCTCATTCAGCCTAGCACAGCGGGTGTATAGGTTGATCAACTTAGATAGCAGACCATATCCACGAGGGTTGAATCCTGTTGTTGGGAAGTTCGCGCTGGAAAATGATCGGTGGAATCACAGAATGTTGGAAGGACATAATAGATGGAGGTCGTTTGTGGTGTTTGTTACTTTACATATCACCTTGATTCCCAACCCATGGACATGTGGCACATCGAATCAGGAAGCATTGAAAGATACCAACGTCCAGATCGCATCTCGTGTTTATCTAGAGAATTGGTCCACTATAGATTTAAATTATGCTTTAACTTGCCTTGTAACTGTTCAATCTTCACCCGAAGACCGCTACTTATCCCCTTCTCGAATGTCGTCCCAGTGCTGGTGTCCCTTCTAAACAAGGACTCTAACATGTTGTCGTTGAGGTCTTTTACATGCTCTGGATGGTGTCAGTTGCAGGTCTGCTACGCGGAACACAAAAGTGAACATACCAAGATCGTTCTCGATGGCATTTAAGGCATCCAGCAATATCTGAACGGCGTTTAGTGTGCGTACACATCCGTCATTAGTGAGCGGCAGATCTCCCAGTCGCAGTCCCCATTGTGATTCCGGTCTTGATAACGTTGCAGCGGGAAGAAGCGCTAAAAGCCTTTGCAGGTCGCAGATCACCGTATCGTAGATGTTGATCAGTGAGATGTAGCATGAAAGCATCAGCAGCAGTGTGGGAGTGTCGATTGTTTTCTCCAGCGCGGGGTCTTGATGAGAAAGCTCGCTGTGCTGCCATGTCTGCCTCGATACGAGCTCCCTGAGGGACTGTGCCAGGGATGTTGCCCCACCGATCGGATAGTCGTAGATGCTGCTGCTGCTATTGTGCTTTGCGTCGATGGCTGTTGTGCGGTAGTAGTGAAGGTCACCTTTGTAGTTGGTCATTGCGACTAGGATCGAAGAGAGGCCGTGAACTTGAGCGGATGACGTTTGGCTGTCGCCCAATGGGTCTGAGCTGGATATGCTGGGCACTGCCTTAGAGTGGCTCCTGTCGCCGTGGTCGAAATTTTGCTGATCTAACATGTTTGCGGCTTTGTCCAGATCAAAGTCTGAGCCCGGCGATTCAGACGCATACCACCAGCCTGCTTTCCATCCCGGGTACGGCATATGGACAGGTAGGACTGGTGTAGTTCCCGAATGATCAAGGAGGATCTCTGCGAAGATCGTGCCCAGTGAAGGATCCGTCAAGGGATCCACACGGATGATCGACGCCAGAGGATCATCCGCGCTGGATCCTGATGAATCGGTAGGTGGAGTACCTTCCACATGGTTCACCCTCTTGGGCTGGCGTCCACTGCGAGCTCGGCGGCTGAACACACAAGGCATTCGAGCGCGCATGCACCGTTGGCAATCCCCGTTGAGAGACGGGACACACCTCAATTTCTGCGACCGGCATCGGTCGCACGAGGTGCGGTACGATTGTGCCCACGTGGCAGACATGGTTAGATTCCACAGGTCAATTCTTGGCTACTCGGTAAAATCGTTCTGTGGCAGTAATTGGGGGAGGCTGTGTGGTCTCGCAGCTTGGCAAGAGTTGGCAATCCATTGGAAAGTGTTGTTGGGGTCAGACATGGTTCCCAGATATATAATTTTAGGAGAGACATGAAGAACGGAATCTACTACCCGCGCAACTTGGAAGTCGCCATCCAGCGCACCATACTTAGTGACCAATACTCGACGTGCCAAGGCGCCACTCGAATCCTTCCGTATTCCATAAATTGGGTGTATTGTAAGGGCTCCTCCGGTGTATTTAGGGCCTAATCAGGGCCCCGGCACATCGCTTGCGGCGGGGAATTGCTGCCTGAGGCAACCACTGTTGCATGTATTGCTTTTGTTTGGTCTAGTTCGCTCCAGTCATCTTTTAGTTCCCAATGGGTTCTACCAGGTTGACATGATACTAAAACTGTATCTCATATGAGCTGATACCTCTGACCAACGTGCTAACTCGAGCCTGAATTGGTCGCTGATTGGAATGCCGGCTAATTCGGGAATGGACCCCATCATGCCATGTGTCGACTAGTCTATGTACAACCCCGGCATGACTGTCAGCCACGTGTGAGGTGGTCATCCCAAGATCGTCGAGTGAGGTTGCGATTCTTCAAGATGTACCGGATCTTGGCGACTTCGCTGGGTCGCAAGAAGTGTGAGATTCTGTCTAGTGGTTTGTTAGCCCCCAAACAGGACACCAGACTAGTGTGTGTCCCTATTTCAGATAAGCGCAGGTTACTATTGCCTGGTATTACTAGGTGGTTCGTTTCTTATAAGGTAGTATCGTGTGGTAGCAGATTATCGTTTTCTAGGTTTCTAGAGTTAACTTTTAGAAGTGGTTAGGGTTATCACTACAAAACCTCTAATGATTTACCCTTCTGTTCCCGGGTTAACCGAGACCGCGCGATATCCTTAACCTCACTTTATACGGGCCCTGTCTAATATATTATCTTCGTACAGATATTTCTATAGATATTGTGATCAAATCATATATCTCTAGGTTAGATAAGACCATGAAACCTTTGTATTGAGGTTTGCGTTAGTGTACTCCGTTGCTTGTTAGGAACAAGCTTGTATGGGTGGGAGCGCCGGGGTCTTGCATCTCGTATCAACCCATCCCCCCTATCGGCGGCCCTTGGTCAGTGGGGTCTGCACTGGCTTTTCGTATCTGCCTGGCTTACTCCACTTCTGTATTACGTTTACGATTGCAGGTATAGCCAATGGCATTGTAAAGGGGAAACATCCATGTCGCCGTAGGGCTGTATCTATAAATATCCTACAAAAACAACAAGCGTCAGAGCCGGACGGTCGTTCGGCTACGCAGCCATTCCCCGTACCGATAGAACAACATAGGCACAGGTGCAAAGACCAGCGCCAAGAAGCCCAACAAGGTATTGCCCCAACCATAGTTGAGTGTTGCATACATGTGCGAGCCAGCGAGCGGCAGGAAGGCTCCAAACAGTGAGCGCAGGAGAATGTTCGCCCCCAGCGCAGACGCAGCCGCCTCCGACCCAAATAGGTCCACTAGATAGAGCTGTGAAGGCATGATCACGAAGAAGGAGCCAAAGCCGACGATGAATGTCCCAACGATGGGAACCATCCAATGCACCTGGTAGTACGCTGTCCAGCCGTAGATAAACAGGCCCGGCCCAATAACCGGAGGGAACCACATCATTAGGACGAGGCGATACTCAGGTTTGGGTTCCTGCACATTCTCCGCAGCCATCTTCGCCTTCAGAATGCGGTCGCTTAAGATACCGAATGTGAATAGCCCGACGAGCTCACCAATGCCCAGCCCTAGATAGGCCAGACCAGAGATCCCCGTGCTGAAGCCGTACTGGCCTTCAAACACCATGCTGAAAGTGGCAAACAGCAGGTATAGGAGGCCAAAGATGAGAGCCACATAGATCGACATAACTAACACGATTGGGGAAAATAGGAGGAGTTTGGTTGGTCGGACGAGGGAGGTGAGGATGATCTGCTGATTTGACAGGCCGCGATCGAGTTTCGATCGGAGGCGGGGGTTCCCAGTTGAGCGTCGCAAGTAGGCGGCCTTCCGTTCTAGCAGCGTGTTCGGATGTGTTTCGCGCATGAAGATGAGTGTCCCGAGCGATGCTGCCCCTCCCTGCCCGTGATTGTCAGCATTATAGACAACATGCCAGAATATGAAGTTTTACCAGGATTGCGACCACCCAGAAGGTCCACCGCCAGCTTTTCCCTTCGGCTATAAAGCCCCCAATCACCGGCCCCAGCACCTGGTTCGCTTAGTATAACTCGCACCAAAGAAGGAAGGTCACGTACCGGTCCCAGAAGGGGTCCTAGCCCAAATAGCGCAGCAGCGGCACCCCGTTTCTCGACCGGAATGACATCCGCAATGGTCCCGCCGCCTAGGGCTAGGGGCGCCGCTCCCGCGCAGCCATTGATGAATCGGAAGACCAGGAATTGAGCCGGCGTATGGCTCAACGCGCAGGCCACGACGAAGATGACGAACACGGCGTTAGAAATGTGATAAACGATGAGCCGCCCATACATCTCAGAGAGAGACGAGATGAAGAGGGGGCCCAGCGCGAACCCCAGAAGATAAATACTCACTGCCAGGGTTCCTAGCGTTCTACTGGTGATCTCCAAGTCTCTGACTACGCCCTCCATTGCGGGAGCGACCATTGTTGAGGCGATGTTCCTGACCGTGTGTTAGTGCGGCCCGGGGTTGGACATCCATCCCATTTGGGGGACACTTACACAACCATCGATAAGACGGCGACGATAACGACATGACCGAAGCTTTTAGCGGTTGACCAGTTGAGGGGATTATCGGGGTCGTCCGGGCCATTCCAGTCGACCACCTCATCCTCGAATTTCTGGGACGGTAGTTTGGCCACCTCCTCATCAGTCGGTTCCAATCGCGTCCTGTCACTCTCGCCACTGGTGGAGGGTTTCATTGTGAGCTATACTTCACGGTTAGATTAGCGAAGACGTAGATTCTGCTGCAAGCATCGAGGTCTTCTGCCTTTTGTACGGTGCTCTGAAAGGTTGGCGCCGACGGAGGAAAAAATTGTCATCGGTCCATCGCTGCTCGGGCTCCCTGTGCCACCAACGCCGAGCTTCTCTGGCCGACTGACAACAAAGACAATACACGACTAATAGGGCTGAAGGGTTCCATGGTTCCGCTCCTGCAACGGACGAAGGGGGAACGAGCGGAGGAATCGATGGAGATGTGAGATGGGCGGAGGAAACGACGGAGGAATCGGCGGAGGAATATAGCTGACAGAATCCTCCGGTTGGTGGATGTTCGGCGTGGGAGACGTGGATGGGGACATGGGGCAGTGATAGCGCCTTGGCTAGCCTGGTTAGTCCACCGTAACATACACGTACAACGTACGATTGATCGGTTCCGCGCTTGTCATGCAGAGTCATCTCATTAGTTCTAGTCCTCATCCCAGCTCGTCTGTGCAGTCCAAGTGGAACCGCCCGAAAGTGCTGGACGGAGGAACCATCTCCACACCCGTCTACGACCAACGTCGGATGCGAGGCCTCAACCCGATTACAACCTCGCCAGCGGCTACAATTTGTATTAATACCTGTATACGAGATATATAGTGATCGCGTTACAGCCGGATACCGTCGTCGTGCGTGTCAGTATCTCCGACAGCCACTATGGATCCTGCATCCGCCCAAGTGCCATCAGTCAATCGTCGGAGCAAACCCCAACTCTCCTGTATGTTATGTCGCCGCAGGAAGTAAGTCGCAGCACGCTATTCTCCGTGTATGCAGGCAAGGTTGATTTAATCCTCCGATAGACTCCGATGTGACCGCAAACGACCCTGTTCGGCATGCACATCGCGTGGATTGGCGCTCTCATGTGGCTATCCTAATAATGAAGCTCCACAATCGCCCTCTGCGATCACGATTTCCCAGCCCCGGCGGGCCACAAGGCCACAGGTGCCCCACAATGGTCGCCCCCGAGCAACCATTCAGGACCGTCTGGGCCAGCTGGAGCAGATTGTCGTCTCCCTGATGCAGAAGACCACTGGCGATGGCCAGGATCACCCGGACCACCACCCGGTGCCAGGGTCCGCGATCCGAGACTGCCAGAATGAAGCAGGGACAATTAGTAGCGAGCATTCTCCAGCCCAGTCCGATGGCGGAAGTATATGGTTTAATTCGTCTGATGCTCAGTACGTCGGCGGAACGCATTGGGCCGCCATCCTGGAAGGCATCGCAGATCTCAAGCAGCAACTCGCCGGAGAGGACGATAAGGATGTAGAAAGGCCGATGATGCTGCACACATTCCTGCTGTATGGATGCAAGTCAGCGAGCAAAGAAGACATCTTGGCAGCTTTGCCCGACAAGGCTGCTACCGACCGGTACGTTTCGCGGTACTTCAATCTATTGGATTTGGCGCCATGTAAGTCTCCAATCTATGATACACAAACACCTATTGATAACGGCGCCGTGAACACTAGCCTGCATACACAGTGGCCAATTCCTACGCGAGGTAGGCTCAGCATGTTCCTGGAATAATATAGGCCTGTGTGACTAACCATATGGTGCTGTAGTATGAACAATTCTGGGAGAATCCATCCCAGACAGGAGTCATGTGGCTAGGGCTTCTCTTCTCTATGATATGTCTAGCAGTACTGGCTTCAAGTGCTACAGGGTCTAGTGCTTCTACAGGAAATCGTAATCCGCTTGTGGATACGTACCGCGAAAAAATAGTACAGTGCCTTCTGCTGGGCGAGTATACGAAATCAGGGAGGTACACCTTTGAGACTCTCTACCACTATTTAACCATTGAATATTCCATCCGTAAGGATGCAGATCGAGACATATGGATCCTGTCGGGTATATCGGTTAATATAGCTCTGCGCATGGGCTATCACCGGGATCCATCCCACCTGCCAGGGATCTCCCCATTTGCGGGAGAGATGCGGCGTAGGGCCTGGGCCACCATCCTGCAGGGGGATATCCTAATATCAACCCAGATGGGTATGCCTCGGATGATAAAGGACTGGCAGTGCGATACCGTAGAGCCTCGTAATCTGAATGACTCCGACTTCGATGAAGATTGCACCGAGCTTCCACCGTCCAGACCGGAGACGGAGATCACAACGGTATCGCACCTTATCGCTAGGCGCCGCATCTTTACCGCACTGGGGGCAATCGTCGATTTCACGGCATCGGTACGACCGGTAGCCTACGACGAAGCAATGCGACTAGATCGAGTCCTGCATGACGCGGAGGCCACAGTCCCTCCTTATCTCCGCATGAAGCCCATGGCAGTGGCAGTAACCGATCCTCCGCAGGTGATTTTACACCGGCTCTTTCTTAGACTGATGTTCCACAAAGGCCAGATCATGCTACATTGTAAGTATTTAAACCCAGACCTAGTCCAGTCTCCGGATAGGCGGGCATTATACTCTTACTCGCGGAGCTCTTGCATAGAGGCGGCCTTGGGTATTTTGGAGATCCAGCGGATATTTGACGAAGAAACGAGCCCAGATGGTCAGCTTTATACGATGCGATGGCGGGAATCGTCTTTTATGAAGCATGAGTTTCTCACCGCCACGATGCTGCTGTGCTTCCTCGCGCGTCAGAGGCAGGACAGCTCAGTTCCCCCAACAGAGGCCTGCAGCTGGGATCAAATTATGGAAGCATTGACACTGGCACATAGAATATGGACTAGGTCCAGTAGTTCATCGATGGAGGCAAAGACTGCAGCCGACACCCTCAACATTGTGCTGGTAACCCTCTCTGGCAATAGTAAGGTGGACACAGAGAGGCCAGCTATGAACAACGATATTACCTCAGAATCAGGTCAGTTTAGTTACCTGTTCCATCCTCACCCTTGCTTACAATAGTGCAGTCCAAACAATGCCATTCACTATTGGAGGCCTTAGTCAATATAGCCTGCAGGAAAGTTTCTATTATGGTCTCCCTTTCATGGGGTCCAGTCAGATGTTTCCTGGTCCCTTCATGGAACCGAACCTCGCTTCCCAATGGCAAACGGTTTGTTTCTAGTTCCAACCATCTGTAAACGACCTACTGATTTTTGGAAAATAGTGCCTTGAAACCGAATTACCACAGGATTCAACGTAAATTAAGTGGGGTTCGGATGGTTACTGTGTTCGGAGTTTTTCGGTGGGATACTACTAGCTTAGCTGATAGAGTCCCAGATCAGTCCATGTCTCATTGAGGCCAGTACTATACCTCGAAGACAGGACAGATGCGTATAAAACGAACAGTTTCGCTCATGATAGCGATTCATTCGAGCAATTACAGCCTACAACAAAGCCCCTTTGTCTCTTCCACTGGAATTACTAGAGTAACGCCTGCCTACCATGCCTGAACCAATTGCCATTATTGGGATCGGTTGCCGTTTCCCAGGAGGTTGTGATACTCCTAGCAAGCTCTGGGAGCTTTTAAGAGACCCTTACGATATTTCCAAGAAGGTCCCTTCTGATCGATTTAATGTTGATAATTTTTACCACCCAGAAGCAACTCACCATGGAACTACCAACGCAACGAAGTCCTACTTTCTTGAAGAGAATATTGCTCATTTTGACGCGCCATTCTTCAACATACAACCAATGGAGAGCGATGCCATTGACCCACAGCAACGTCTACTCCTGGAAACTGTGTATGATTCTCTCTGTACTGCAGGTCTGCCCATGGAGAACCTCCGTGGGTCGTCTACAGCAGTCTACGTGGGTATGATGTGTGATGATTGGTCTACCATGGTGGCCAGCGATATTGAGGCACTTCCGACATACACGGCTACTGGGTTAGCTCGAAGTATAGTCTCCAACCGGATATCCTACGTTTTCGACTGGCATGGTCCATCAATGACCATTGATACAGCATGCTCGTCCAGTCTTGTGGCCGTGCATCAAGCCGTGCAAACACTTCGTAGCGGTGAATCTTCTCTCGCTATAGCAGCAGGAACGAACTTGATTTTGGGCCCGAGTAAGTAGGCACTCCTGGCGGACCTAGCTTGCTGCTAACCTGTGTAGCCATGTATGTGACGGAGACAAACCTGCGCATGCTGTCACCAAATGGCCGGTGTGCAATGTGGGATCGCGCCGCAGATGGCTACGCTCGCGGAGAGGGTGTGGCAGCCGTGGTCCTGAAGACTTTGAGTCAAGCTCTTGCTGATGGGGACCACATTGAATGCATCATTCGCGAGACTGGTGTCAATCAGGATGGACGGACCACTGGTCTTACTATGCCGAGTAATATTGCACAAACGGCACTGATTCGCGACACCTACCGTCGGGCCGGCCTGGATATCAATAACCCTCTCGACCGTCCTCAGTTCTTCCACGCTCACGGTACTGGAACTCAAGCTGGCGACCCTCAAGAGGCGGAAGCGATATCGGCAGCATTATTCCCTAGAGACTCGATTTCTGACACCAAATTACTCGTTGGCTCTATCAAGACCGTGATAGGTCACACTGAAGGCTCTGCTGGACTGGCATCTTTGATTGGATCATTACTGGCCATGAGACATGCGGTCATTCCGCCAAATCTGCACTTTGATCGATTGAGTGACAAGGTCGCACCATTCTACACCAATCTAGAGATCCCCACAGAGCCTTTACCTTGGCCTACACTGGCTCCTGGTCAGGTCAAACGGGCTAGCGTTAATAGCTTTGGTGAGCAACTGTGTTACTATGTTGGATTAATTTGCTGACCTTACTAGGTTTTGGTGGAACCAATGCCCACGCTATCATCGAAAGCTTCGAGCAGGGCTTTCAACAATCATCTGAACCTTCCTTAATCTCAACCTTCACCCCTCTGATCTTTTCTGCCGCTTCTGAAAAAAGCCTTAGGGCTATGCTGTCCACCTACTCAAGCTACATAACAACAAATTCCACCTTGGACATCCAAGATCTCATTACAACGCTGTGTTCGCGCCGCTCGACACTTCCTTATCGAACATATGTTCCAGTCCGCGACAACGAAGGACTAGCCCAGCAGCTGAAAATCATGGCAGATGCTGCCAGCAATGAGACGGAACTCAGCAGTCGCCGTTATCAGATCGATAATCCTGCTATTCTTGGTATCTTCACCGGACAGGGGGCGCAGTGGCCGCGGATGGGAGCGTGCCTTCTTGAGTCATCTGTGTTTTGCCAGCAAAGAATTGCTTACCTTGATTCAGTCCTTCAGGACTTGCCTGTGGAGCATAGACCTAGCTGGACCATTCAGGACCAGTTGCTTGCCACTAGCGAGACCTCGCATATCACAGAGGCTGCGGTGTCGCAGCCTCTATGTCTTGCGATTCAAATCGTACTGGTCGACGTTCTTCATGCGGCAGGAATTCTCTTCAAAGCAGTCGTGGGCCACTCATCTGGCGAGATCGCTGCTGCATATGCGGCGGGTCTTGTCTCTGCCGAGGATGCTGTACGCATTGCATATTACCGTGGTATGCATGCCAAACATGCGTCATCCCCCAATGCTGAAAAGGGGGCTATGATGGCTGTTGGCACCTCTCATGCCGAAGCTCTGCACATCTGTGCTAATCCACGCTTCAAAGATCGCATTCAGGTTGCAGCAGTGAACTCCAGCTCTAGTATAACACTCTCTGGCGATGAGAGAATGATCGATGAGGCCCTCGAGATGCTGAAGGCACAGCAGAAATTCGCTCGAAAGCTGAAGGTTGATACTGCCTATCACTCAGCCCATATGTTGCCCTGTGCAGTTCCCTATCTAGAGTCCATGAGATCATGTGAGATAGGGGTCAATGAAGGAACAGGGCCAGTGTGGCTCTCAAGTGTTATCGAAGGACAAAGGATGTCAAAGGAATTGCTCTCTGAGGTTTATTGGGTTGACAACATGTGCAACACAGTTTTATTCTCTAGTGCTGTCTCTCAAGCCGTCTCTGAGCTTGGACCGTTCGATTTAACTATAGAAATCGGGCCACACCCGGCGTTGAAGGGTCCAGCGACAGCAACTCTAGAGGAGTTTGGATGCAATGCCCCCTATACCGGTGTCTTGACCCGCATGAAAAATGACTGTCACGAATTATCCGCAGCCCTGGGCTTCGTATGGATGCATCTTGGATCCGGCAGCATTCAATTCGATGCAGTCAATCAGCTCCTATCTGGGTCAAAAGGTAATAGAAGAATTCTCACTACATTGCCCTCGTACCCGTTCGATCACCAGCGTGAGTACTGGACAGGATCCCGAGTCTCCAACCACCATAAATTCCGCCGCAATCCCCCAAACCCGCTGCTCGGTACCCAATGCTGCGAGGCGAGTACTTTCCAGGAACTTCAATGGCGAAACATTCTCCGTCCGAGCGAAATCTCTTGGCTTAGTGGCCACCGACTACAAGGCCAGATGGTTTTCCCAGCCACGGGCTATGTTTCTATGGCGATTGAAGCTACAAAGCAGCTTCTCAACCGGAAACAGATTTTCTGTTTGAAAGTTTCCGACCTAGAAATTGGCCGTGCGATTGCCTTTGGTGACGATGGGGCTAGTATTGAGGTCATCTTCAATGTTAGTGTGCTGCATACTTCTGAACAATCAATGATCACTCAATTCGCCTGTTATTCGATCACGAAGGCGGATGGAAACGAAGTCTTGAACGCGAAAGGCAAGGTTATCACAGATTTCGGCGCTTCTAGTCCCACGGCACTTGCCAACTATGAATCAGATCCCTTCAACCTGGTTACTGTTGATGGGAATGAGTTCTACCGGTGCCTTGCCAAGATCGGTTATAATTACTCCAGGCCTTTCCAAGGGGTGTCACAAATCCAACGGAAGCCCGGATATGCCACTGGCTTGATCGAGGATCAGTCTGGCATGGCATGGGAGGATAACCTGATCTTCCATCCGGGAATTCTTGACACTGCCTTACAAACCGCCTTCGCGGCGTGGTCCTTCCCTGGCGATGGTCAGATATGGTCCCTTCACGTTCCCACGCGGTTTGAATCATTGGTCTTCAACACCCACTTTAGTCATCTTGGGTTGGGCAAACAGGGCTCCTTCAAATACGAGACATTTATTCGTACCAATACCCAAGGAAGCTTGACTGCCGATATTCACTTGTACACAGCCGATGGCAAGAACTCGTGCATCCAGATTGAAGGGGCATCTCTCGTCCCATTCTCTCCGGCCTCTGCTAAGGATGACCTACCGCTCTTCTCAAGCTTCAGGCTGAGGCCTGCTGTTCCTGATGGTCATCTTGCAGCAATGGGCGAGACGCTCTCCCCTTCTGAGGTACAGGTTTACAAGGATATTGACCGTGTTGCGTTTTGGTACATCTGCAACGTTGTTCGATCAATTCCCCCAGAGGAGCGGGATCAGATCCTGCCCCATTTCAGGTACTATCTTCGATGGTGTGAACGCATGATTGACATGGTTTGTCGTGGCGAACATCCCAAAGTACCGCCTGAATGTCTCAATGATGACAGAGAAGATATCAGGCAGATCTTGAGCAAGTATGTGATTGGTTTCTCGTTGTCATGCTCCCCAGCTGTCTCCTTTTGCCGCTTGTTCATGTTCAGGATTTCGCGCAAGCAAAGTGACTAATTGGATTGCATTAGATACGAGGGACGAAAAGATATTCGCTTCGTGGAGGTCGTGGGCGACCATCTCGTGGAAGTGGTCCGCAGCGGTACTAGCATGTTGGAACACATGAACCAGGACGGGCTTATGCTCGCGGTATACGAGAATGGCTTGGCCGCTGGCCCAAATAACCGCTGGATGAGTCGCATAGTTGCCCAAATTGCGCACCGCTATCCGGGAATGCACATTTTTGAAATCGGTTGGTTTACATCTGCAATCCGTCCTTTCACTTAGAGGATCTAATTTGTTATAGGAGCTGGAACAGGCGCGTCGACCAAGACAATCTTGCCTGAATTGGGCTCGGCCTTTGCCACATATACCTTTACTGACATTTCTAGTGGATTCTTCCCGGAGGCAGAGGAGCGCTTCAAAGAATACGCAAACCGTATGGTCTTCAAGACATTTAACACTGACCTGGCACCAGGTGAGCAGGGGTTCACAGAAGGACAGTACGACGTCGTTATCGCTGCCAATGTCCTGCATGTTTCAGCTGACATGCAGCAATCCATGGCGAACGTCCGCCGGCTATTGAAACCTGGAGGTTACTTACTTACGTTGGAAGTGACCAACTGCGACCTTCTTTTCAGTGGTATGACGGTGGGAACACTTCCAGGCTGGTGGGTCGCAGCCGAGACAGGACGACCGTGGGGACCTTGCCTTACACTGCCTCAGTGGGATGCTGTTCTCCGGCAAACTGGCTTTTCAGGTATTGATACGACAACACCTGATATCAGCGAATCTCTTCCCGTGACAGTGTTTGTTTCCCAGGCTATTGATGATCGTGTGGCTGTCCTTCGCAACCCCCTTTCCCTGTCGTCTGAGCAGGAGAGACTGGGCACATTGGTAATTATCGGTGGCACGACACTGCCGGTTTTCCATCTCGTCGAAGATATTTGCGCAAACCTATCTTCCAAGTTTTCCAATACCATCATCTGCGAGAGCATTGAGGATCTTGCATCTCCTAGTTCGGTGGCACCTTCAGGGGCCACCATTCTGTGTTTGACAGAGTTCGATGAACCGTTCATGAAAAGGCTAACTCCGCAGAAGTTTCATAGCCTACAAAGACTTTATGAGATAGCGGGGACGTTAGTAATGGTTTCGTGTGGCTGCAGGGCAGATGAACCCTACTCCATGATGCTTGTCGGGATTGGGAGGACGGTGAAAACCGAAAATCCGAACATCAACCTCCAACTAGTTGACATCGAAAAGATCGATAATTCAACAGCCAATATTCTGTCTGAAACTATTGTCAGCCACTATCTTCTGCGAAAATGGAGGTCCAGGACAGAGCCTCTCCTCTGGTCTACAGAACCAGAAATCAACTATCAAGACAGACGCATGTTGATTCCAAGACTCTTACCCAGCACGGCTAAAAACCAACGCTACAATTCGCAACGACGGGTGATCACCAAAGAAGTCGATCCACAGAAAGAGACCCTACAGATTATTAAGGCTGGTGCAATATTTAATATCGAAGAGGTCTCGCCCTTATATAATCCTAGCGCAACATCATCCGACGATGTGCTGGTTCGGACAATTTACTCCTCACTTCAGTCTTTGAAGGTCGGGAGCACGGGGTTTCTCCGACTCGTCTACGGTGTGATCCATGATTCAGGGAAAACAGTCATTGCCCTTACATCGTCTACTCAGTCACCGGCCGTTATACCGTCGAAGTGGTGTGTCACAGTGGAACGCCATGCTATGGGCCGTAGCCCCTTATCCTTTCTTGCCTCGGTCGCTGCTAAAATATTAATGACAGCAGTGCTAAACACTGTAACAGAAGGCGAGGTACTCGTGGTTAGGGAGGCAGATGAGCCTATAAGGTCTTACCTGCGGGACGGTGCCAGGGTTCTGGGTGTCAGGATTCTTTTTGTCACCAGTCAGGACCACGATGATACTGCTGACAGTTTTTACATCCACCCCAGGCTGTCGCAGCAGAAGCTGAAGCAGCTGCTTCCTGAAAATGTCACTACCTACGTTGATCTTTCGGTCGGGTCAGACAGCAGCAGTTTCTCAGAAAGTATTGAAAGGTGTCTCCCGCCACAATGCACGCACATTAAGCGCAGCTCTCTCCTCAGCAATGATCTCAATTATCCATCTCTGAGTGTTGCCGGCAGTATCAATCAGCTTCTTCGGCAGGCAATCGAGACTGTCACCCATTCTGCCGAGCCTATGGTCATTCCGCTTAGCCACGTACCTAGTCTTTCTATGCCTGATGAGCGTTTTGCAGTGGTTGATTGGTCGATCCAATCTGCCCCCGTTAGAGTACGGCCAATTGATTCTGGCAATATCTTTAGATCAGATCGCACCTACTTCCTTGTCGGTCTGGCTGGTGAGCTTGGTCAGTCTTTGTGCCAATGGATGATTTCCCATGGAGCAAAATATGTTGTCCTGAGCAGTCGATCTCCAAAGGTCAATCCGAAGTTTACAGAGGCAATGGGACGGCAAGGAGCCACTGTGAAAACGTTTTCGCTGTCAGTGCACCATCTCCTTCCAGTTCACTCTATCGACTAACAATGTACAGGGATGTTACGAGCCGAAGGTCTCTATGGGCGTGTTACCGAGAGATCAACCGCACCTTGCCCACCATTGGCGGCGTTGTCAACGGTGCCATGATCCTTCAAGACAGTGTTTTTGAAAATATGACTTACGACCAGTTCCTAAAGGTAATAAAGCCCAAGGTCGAAGGTACCAAGCTCTTGGACGAACTATTCTATGACACGCCTCTGGAATTCTTCATTGTCACTTCATCAATCACCGCCGCGATTGGCTTCAGTGGACAGAGCAACTACTCAGCGGCGAACACATTCATGACCTCTCTGATGTACCAGCGGAGGAAAAGGGGTGTTCCCGGATCGGCAATGGATATCCCTGCGGTGCACGGTATTGGTTACGCAGCTCAAGAAGATAACTTTGATTTTGAGTACTTCACTACCCTCGGCTATAATAATGTCTCGGAGCAAGACTTCTGCACACTGTTCGCAGAAGCCATTCTCTCCGGTCGTCCTGGCTCGCCTGATGAGGCTGAGGTTGTATCAGGTGTAAACTACGTTCCTGCGGACTTGGATATACCACAGACTCATACTAGAGACATCAAATTTTCTCATTATAATCTGACAACAAAGGAAGGGTCCACGACAGGTAGTGGCAAGGCTGCTGCGCAGGTGAGGGTCCAACTGCAGGGCGTTACTGAAGAGGAAGCGATATACGAGATTATCAAAGGTAGGCGATCTTTTAATCATGTTCGCAATGATAATCATGAACGTCCTTGCTAACATCGTTGTAGAATCATTTGTGGTGAATCTCAAAAAGGTCCTACAGATCTCACCTGAGGATGATGTCAACCTATTCACACCACTCGTGGAACTAGGCCTAGATTCACTAGTGGCAGTCATGGTTCGCTCGTGGTTCTTGAAAGAGATTGAGGTTGACATTCCAGTCTTGAAGATCCTTGACGGCAGTTGTATTTCCGACCTTCTCCAGGTTGCTGTCCAAAAGATACCTGCGTCGATTACTGGTGCAGGTGAACCAAAGCACGATGCAGCTGATATTCTCAGCGAACAGTCGCCTCAAAAACCAAAGAAACCCATCTCCGAAACTGCTATTTCGGAAGTACCCAGTGACTCTGCGTCTAACTATTCCCCACTCAGAACGCCAAGCGAAAGCGAGGCTTCCTCTATTGAGCTGCTGACACCAGACGAACCCGTGGAGTCCAAGCAGCTACAATCACCACATGAGCTAGCTCAATCACAACGCGACTTCGTTGGTCGGATATCTCGCCCTGTACGTGAGTCTATGTCCTTTGCACAAGCCAGGTTTTGGTTCCTTCACCATTTCTTAAAGGACAAGAACGCTCTGAACTTTTCAACTTCTGTACGTCTTTCTGGAAATCTCCGCGTTGGAGCTTTTGAGCAGGCTTTGGATACCGTTGTCCAACGGCATGAGGGTCTCCGCACTAGGTACCTATGGTCAGATGGAGATACTAGTACCCCAATACAAGAGGTGGTTGATTATCCCTTGTTGAAACTAGAGACCAAGCGCATAAACTCCGAGGCTGAGGCAGCCGAAGAGCTCGAGAGACTACAAAGGCATGAATATAACTTGGAAGACGGGAACTCAATCAGAGCAATGCTACTTACTCTATCAGATACCGTTCACTACTTTCTCATTGGCTGTCATCACATTTCCCTGGATGGACAAAGCATGCATGTTCTTCTCTCCGAACTCGACAGTGTATACAACGGAAAGACTCTTCCTGAAATTACACAAGCCTCTCAAAACCGAAGCTTTTCTGCCCGACAGCAACGTGATGATCAGTCCGGACTTTTGAGGAGTCATATTGACTATTTTCGGACCGTCATCCGTGGTGATCCCGGCGCAATTGAGCTTTTCCCTCTTGTTGATATCCCAAAGCGCAGAACTCTGGATACTTACAGGTTGGTCGCATACCCGGTGCGAATAAAGTATTTGCTGATTTTTGTTTAGGCATTATCGGGTGTCAACCAGGTTAGGAACTGTGCTAGCTAGCAAGGTGAAAGCTATCGCTCGCAAGCTCCATAGCACAAACTTCCATTTTTACCTTACCATTCTCCAAGCCATGGTCTTTCGCATGCTTCCCAATACCAATGAATTCTTCATTGGCATTGCAGACTCGAACCGAGTCGACAAGGATTCAATCAACACGATTGGGTGTCTCGTCAATTTATTACCGCTCAAATTCGACCGGGCAGAGTTCTCCAAATTGGACAGCGCGGTTAAGCTCACTCGCAGCAAAGTGTATTCTGCGCTACAGCACTCCAGAGTGCCGTTTGACGTTCTTGTTAACGAGTTGGGGATCAATCGTTCCACCACGCACACGCCAGTCTTCCAGATCTTCATGGACTACCGACTGGGCGATCAGGAGAAAACAACTCTGGCCGGTTGTGATGGCGAGCTGTCGTGGAATAACGCTGCAACTGGATATGATCTGCATATGGAAGTGCTTGATACGGTAGCTGGAGAGTCGCTAGTTGTCTTGAAGGTCCAAGAGGCTGTCTATTCCAAGGAAGCCGCCGAACTACTGCTTGGTGCTTTCGTCAATATCCTAGAGCACGCTACAAAGAGACCTGCGGAACAGGTTGATCTGTCAACACCTCCATTATGGTCTGGTGAGGCTATTGATAGTGCTTTGACTTTAGGGAAGGGTCTGTTATACTTTGGTCATATACGTGGTCATGGCTAACTGTTCATAGGCCCCGAGTTGGAAACTGAATGGCCAGCCACGGTTGCCCATCAAATCGATAAAATAATTGATGCACATCCTGAAACCACTGCAGTCAGGGACGGACATGGAAACGTTCTCACATATAGCAGGATGGCCAACCGCGTAAATACAATTGCTGCTACCCTACTTCAACATATCTCTGGTGGTGACAGCGTAGCTGTTTTCCAAGAGCCAGGCGCAGACTGGATTTGTTCGATGCTCGCTATTTTCCGTCTTGGTGCAGCATATGTTCCTCTAGACCTAAAGAATGGCCTGGAACGGCTTGCAGGTGCTGTGGAAGTTGCTCAGCCACAAATCATCCTGTACGACAAGTGGACAGAACCTCATGTTGCCAATCTTCGGGCGTCAGATGCGGTTGTCATCAATGTCTCCAGTATTTGCAACACTACTGCTGCAAACATAGTGAACAGGGCCACTGCGGAGAGTACTGCCGCAATACTGTTCACCAGCGGATCCACTGGTGTCCCCAAGGGTATTGTCCTGCCGCACTCCTGTTTCGCAACGCATGTTGAAGCGGTCGAAAAAGCTTGGAAGGTTGGACCGAGCGTGGTCCTCCAGCAAATCGCCCTCAGTTTTGACTTTTCATTGCATCAAATATTCACAGCCCTGGCCAATGGAGGAACCCTCTACGTGGTTCCGTCCGCGAAACGGGGTGACCCATACGAAATTTCAAGGATTATGATGCAAGAAAAGGTTACCCACACCCTCGCCACTCCAACGGAGTATGGCATGTGGTTTGACGCTGGGTCGGACATCCTTTCCCGGTGTGTACATTGGAAATGGGCTCTTACCGGTGGCGAGGCCCTACCAAAGTCGATTGTTCGACGATTCCGAGACTTGAAATCCAGTAACCTGAAGGTCTTCGACTTCTACGGTCCGGTGGAGGCCACCATTGCTCTAACTAAGGGGGAAGTTGATTTCGCACTTGCTGATCTTGAACCACCCATTCCAGTCGGGAGTATCCTGCCCAACTATTCGGTCTACATCCTAGATGAAGCCCTACACCCTCTCCCGATCGGTGTTCCCGGGGAGATCGTTGTTGGAGGTCCAGGAATTGCAGCAGGATATCTTGGACAACCTGAGCTTACCAATGAGAAGTTCATTCCTGTTCCTCACATCTTGCAGGATAGGCGCGCAGAGGCCCACGGCTGGAACAAACTTTATCGAACAGGAGACCGGGGGCGTCTCAACAGGGATGGCACTCTCATCTACGAGGGTAGAATCAACGGGGATAACCAGATCAAACTTCGTGGCATCAGAATTGAACTAGGAGAGATTGAGAATGCCATCTTGCAAGTTGCAAACGGCAAGCTCTGTCAAGCGTTGGTGGCTGTCCATGGAGAAGCTGCTGACAAGTTCCTGGTGGCTTATGTTGTTTTCTCGTCGCTAGGCGAGCCCAGTGAGAGGGTCCTGACAGATATTCAAGCAGCACTTCCACTTCCTAACTATATGCGTCCTTCACTATTCGTTCCCATCGAACGTGTCCCTGTGAACGTGCATGGGAAGGCAGATCGCAAAGCTCTTTACAATATTCCTCTACCAGATATTTCAAGCCCAGGCCCTACCAACCCTGATAAGATGAATGAACGAGAAACCAGACTATGTGAACTATGGAAAGAGGTTCTGCCAGGATCTGGAACAACAATTCACGCGGGTACAGACTTCTTCCATATCGGGGGTAACTCGCTCCTTCTCGTGAAACTTCAACGCGTCCTTCAAGAATCATTGGCGTTTACGCCGCGACTGGCTGATCTTATGAACTCTAGCACGCTGGGTGAGATGGCTAAATTGCTAGAGGATACCTCTGTTAATGTTGTCGACTGGGAGGTCGAGCTCGCTATCCCACCATCCTGGGCCAATATCCTTCCAAGCGTCCCAGTATCCCGCGCAAACGACAACTTAACTATAGTTTTGACAGGTGCCACCGGGTACATTGGCCGTCATCTGCTCTCCTCGCTAATTGAAGATGCTCGAGTTTCGAAGGTCATTTGTCTTGTCCGCGACGTGACGAAGTTAGCAATAGACTCGGAGAAAGTCAAGGCCATCGAGTGCAACTTTCAGAAGGCCAAGCTTGGTCTTTCATCAGACACCCTAAACAATTTGTCTGATAACGCCGACATAGTGGTGCACTGCGCGGCTAATCGCTCTTTCTGGGATGACTATCAGGCACTCCGGGCCGTTAATTTCCTTTCTGTCCACGAACTTGCTCGGTTGTGTCTTTCCCGCAAGATTCCACTTCACTTCTTTTCTTCTGGAGCCCTCAGGCACCACGATATCCTGCCCGATGCTCGAGGTGGGTACTTGACCAGCAAATGGGCAGCGGAGCAATTTCTTCACAATGTATCTCAACAATTTAATATCCCAGTGTACATCCACACCCCATGTGAAGCACCGCCAGATACGCCATTCACGACCAGCTCCATAGTGGAGCAGGACTTTATCGATTGTGCCCAGCTCATCGGTGCGCGCCCCGATATTACAGCGACATCTGGTTATATGGACCTTCGGCAAGCGACTACATTTATTGCTTCGGTATCCGAGGTTATCCTCAAGACTATGGACGATAACGATGGCATGGACGCTGTATACAAGAGAGTGTTATACCCTGCCGACCATCGGTTTGACATCCAAAGCTCTATGAAGGAAGCTTACTCGAGATCCACGTGGAAATCTCTCCCGACAATGGATATGCTTCAGTGGATGGGCAAGGCGAAACAAAACGGTTTCCCTTATGTTTTGACAGCTCAGAATATTATTATGAGTTCGGGACAGGGGCGGGTTATTTCTCGGCGATAGGTTTTCTGCATTGTATGGCACATCATTTCAAGTTGTATATATTTTTAAAGGCTGCATGTGTTATTTCCCTTCTCATCCCAACTAGTACTTTTCATCATCCCGTGGTGTTCCACTAGTTCGATTTTCAAGATCGTAAATACGGGCTTAATACCCATTATATTATATGCTGTGCTTATTATACAGTCAATATCACAACCTGCTAATATGTCCGTCATTCCGAGTTTGCCCATCTCTATGTGTACTGAGTCCCACATACCCACACCAATCGGGTAGAATATGAGCACGTGATCTCGCGACGCGAAAATGATCGCCGCGCCGCGCCACGGCCTTTGTCTGACGTTGGTTTCTATCGTCGACATTCTTTCTGGTTTAGATCTCGAGAATCGTATACGGAGGCAGGGAATGCGATACAGGATGAATAGATAAGACATACAACGCATTAACGTCAGATTTTACATACCGGATACCATCCAGCGGCCAACAATTTGCCCCTCACCTCAATATACCTACGGCCGTCGCTTTCGATCAGAACCTGCTCTATACATAAGCATCGGACATGGCTGGATCATTCCCGAAGAAAGGCTCGACGCCATCGAAACCATCCTTCAGGTCCAAGCAACCGACCTCTGTGAAACGGAACAGCAGTCTCCTGAACTTTTTCCAGAAGGCGGACGGCCCGCCGCAAGCCACATCTCGACAGTCTCGGATCACGCAATTCGCGACGAAAGCGGACCGACCGACGGCTAGTGCGCATGGCAGTCCGTCATTGCGGCGAGACGATAGCTCGAAGAGTAACGGTAGCGGCGGGTTGTTCTTGGATGATCGGAATGGGAAGAAGTCGGCCTTGATAGACCCTAGTACGCCCCCGCGATCCCGGTCACGGACACCTGACGATATATGGGGTGAAGGTGATGGGAACCTCGTGGCCCCGAAAGAGGAGGAGGGGGACAGGTATAACGAGAATGGGTCTGCGGTTAAGAAGCGTAAGGTCGAGTCAGAGTCTGACTCTCCTCGGACGGATCAGGTGAAGGATGAGGCCTCTGCGGCAACGCCTGCTCCGGCCAAATCTCGACAGGTTAGCGGGCCGTTTATCGATGAGTCTGACAGTGAGGAGGATTTGGGAGCGTTTGGTGATTTCGGTGACGAACCAGCCGTGTTGACAAAGACCGAAGCCGTGAAGGACGCGACGGGCGCTGATAATGACCGGAAAGATGATGATCGAACTTCCGATGTCGCCGTACCATCATTGGTAAGAGAAGCCACGAGCCATTTCGAAGATAATGAACTTGCGAATTTTGACGATCTAGAAGAAAACGAGTTCGGAGGGGAAGAAGGACTCTTAGACCAGGAAAACGACGACGCAGAAGGATCCGAAGGGACGGTATTTTGTTTCGACGACTCGAACGATTCGCCAGCTCTAGAGGAGTGCGATGTGGATCCTGGCGGTGGTGTAGCAGTATGCCCAATATGCCAGATTGAGTTGGTAGGCTTGAGTGACGTTGTAAGGCGCTCTTTTGGCTTGGACTGTGTACGAGTTGTTTGCTAATAGTAGTAGGACGTGTCGGTGCATGTCAATGATTGCCTTGATGGGAAGCCTGCCACTGTCTTGCCGAAACCGAAGCCCGACACACCGGCGAAGGCACGGACGCGCGCAGAACTCGCTTCGATTGCAAGGCCACCGCAAAATGATCCATACTCCTCCGTCACATCTAAGACATCATCCGCTTTCTCGAAGCTAATGGCAGGTAACGCAGAAGATACAGCATGGACAGCGGCGGCGGCCAGCGAGGTCAAATCTAGGGGCAAGCAGGCATACCAACGAACTTGTCCATTCTACAAGATTATTCCGGGATTCTCGATTTGTGTGGATGCTTTTCGTTATGGAGCAGTCGAAGGATGCAATGCCTACTTTCTGAGCCATTACCACAGTGACCATTACATAGGCCTCTCGGCCTCTTGGCGCCATGGGCCCATCTACTGCAGCAAAGCTACTGGCAACCTAATCCGCCAACAACTCAAGGTGGACCCGCGATGGGTGGTGGATTTGGAATTCGAGAAGACTACAGAGGTCCCCAATACTGGCGTTCAAGTGACTTTGATTGAGGCCAATCACTGCCCCGGAAGCGCCATTTTTCTGTTTGAGAAGGCCATGGGGTCCGGTCCGTCCAAGAGGATTCAACGGGTTCTGCATTGTGGTGATTTCCGAGCATCTCCCACCCATGTGCAGCACGCCCTTCTTCGCCCCGAGGTAATTGACTCCATCACGGGCCAGAAACGGCAGCAAAGGATTGACGTCTGCTACTTGGATACTACTTATCTCAGTCCTAAGTACTCCTTTCCTAGTCAAATCGATGTCATCGAAGCCTGCGCGGAACTCTGTGTGAGCCTTGACCGAGGTGAGGACGATGGTCCTGCGCCGTGGCAGTCACAAAAAGCAAGTAAAGGAGGCGGGAGTATCATGAGTAAGTTTTTCAACTCTGTGACGGGGTCAGACAAGTCACAGGAGCGATCGTCTCGTCCGGAGGGGCGATTGTTGGTCGTCATTGGCACATATAGTATCGGTAAAGAGCGTGTATGTCTAGCAATTGCCCGAGCCCTGCAGAGTAAGATTTATGCTACTGCGGGCAAGCAACGAGTGTGCGCTTGTTTGGAGGATGCCGAGCTTTCTTCGTTGTTAACGGACGACCCCGTGGAGGCCCAGGTTCATATGCAGACGCTGTTCGAGATCCGCGCTGAGACGCTGGCCGACTACCTGGATTCGATGAAGCCGCACTTCACTCGTGTGGTGGGCTTCCGTCCGACAGGATGGACATACCGTCCACCCACAGAGCGGATGTTGGACAACCCACCCGTCTCGACGGTGCTACATTCTGCTCATTGGAAGACGCCCTTCACAGCGCGCGACCTAGTGCCCCAGCGCGGAAGTACGCGTGAAAGTGCCTGCTTTGGGGTGCCGTATAGCGAACATAGCTCGTTTCGGGAGCTGACGATGTTCTGTTGTGCGCTCCGGATCGGACGGGTGATCCCTACGGTAAACGTCGGTAGCCGGAAAAGTCGGGAACGAATGAAGGCATGGGTTGAGCGATGGGAGGCGGAGAAGAGGAAGAGTGGATTGTATCGGGTGGAAGGGGACCGGTGGTAGAGCGGGCTATCTATGAAGAAGTAGACTTGCACATATTCATACACCGGCAGTATCCTGTGTGGAGGGCTGGTTGGACTGGATACACCGCATATGTAAGCACACATCATGGACCAGCTAAATTTTGACCAACCATGGAGGGAGTCTTGCATTATGGCTCTTCGTCTCTGCACATAATTATTTGGGACAACGTGACGTCTCATAGAATTTAATCTATGCCTACCGACATGACATTGGTCATATCTCTACTTTAGGTTACCTCCAAATGTTGCTGAAATATGGTCGAATATGATTTGGGGTCTGACCAGACATCAAAGCGTAAAAAAAGTAAATAAGTCAATACGAGATATGTTCTATTTGCTCACAGGGACGCCACCAACTGTGTAGTTGAAAAGGCTTACAGGATGACAAGTTGGGGTGCTGTTCACCACCAATGAGAGAGCGTGTAAAGGTAAGGACATTCACACCATATTAGCTTGGCTCAAAGCTAAACGAGGTGTGCTTCACCAGTCATGGACGTGGACGCAACCAACCAAACCGTAGGTAAGCCCTGGGCGGTCGATCATGACTCGTGACTTGCAGGGGGGACATTAACCGAAAGAAGCGGGGGATCGGAGGCCAGCATCGGCTGCGTGAGAGCAGTGAGGTAACCCCAGACTTCCCGAATTCGTCTCCCGTCGGTTGGATAGCCTCGGGGAAGTCTCGTCCACACTAGTCCCATAAATATTGACCCTCAGCCATGGTCATGATGAAGATGATAGAGAGAGAGATGATATGATATTTCGACCATTGGAGTGATTCTCATTCTTACTATTCTTATTAGTATTATTCTACGTCTTCTCATTCTCTTTAAATTCACTCTTTGAATCTTGACCTTCAACAAATTTGTTCGATTGATTAAGTGATCATTCCTCTCCTAACTTACCAAAAAGAGGTTAGTAGCAACGGTCAACAGTTGATTCTCCACGATGATCCCGTCATAGTTAATTTCTGAATCCTTTCGCGCAGGCTAACGTTTCACTGCCCGTGTCTAGTTTCTTAATTGTCCTACATTATCCCGTCCTGCTGGGGGAGCAAAAAAAGGACAACAGCCGCCATGATTGCCGAGCTCCTGACGCCCACTGGCGCAGCATATGTGCTCACCGCCGCCGTATTCGTCTACTATATCCTGCCGTACCTGCAGCTATGGCGCTTACGCGATATCCCGTCGCCCGGTTTCGCCGCCTTCTCCAACCTGTGGCTGATGCTGCAGTACCGCAAGGGCAACCGCTTCGTCACCGTCGACGAAGCTCATAAAAAACATGGCAAACTCGTGCGCATTGCTCCCCGACATGTCTCCATTGCCGACGACGAGGCTATCCAGGCGATCTACGGACATGGAAATGGTTTCCTTAAGGCGTATGTTTCTTCCTCATCGTTACTGTCTTCCCCCATACTATCGACATCCCACTCTCTGCGGATAAAAGTCCCGCCAACAACAGCACAACCACATTAATTCAAATAAATCATACTAATCATAATACAGTGACTTCTACGATGCCTTCGTTTCCATCCGCCGCGGTCTCTTCAACACCCGCGACCGTGCCGAACACACCCGTAAGCGTAAGACCGTCAGCCACACCTTCTCCATGAAATCCATCGGCCAATTCGAACAATACATCCACGGCAACGCCGAGCTCTTCGTGAAACAATGGAACCGTATCGCCGACACACAAAGTAACCCCAAGACCGGCTATGCCACCATCGACGCCCTGAACTGGTTCAACTACCTCGCCTTCGACATCATCGGTGACCTCGCCTTCGGCGCCCCCTTTGGCATGCTCGAGAAGGGCCAAGACATCGCTGAAATGCGCAAGAACCCGAACGACAAGCCCAGCTACGTGCAGGCCGTCGAGGTCCTCAACCGCCGTGGTGAAGTTTCTGCTACCCTGGGTGCCTGCCCCAGCCTCATTCCCTGGGCGAAGTATATCCCCGACCGCTTCTTCAGGGATGGACTCGAGGCTGTGGAGAATCTGGCTGGTATTGCGGTTGCGCGGGTCAATGAGCGTCTTCGCCCAGAGGTTATGGCTAATAATACTCGTGTGGATTTGCTGGCTCGTCTGATGGAGGGCAAGGATTCGAATGGAAACAAGCTCGGCCGCGAGGAACTGACGGCTGAAGCGCTCACGCAGCTCATTGCCGGTTCTGATACCACGAGTAACACCTCTTGCGCCATTCTGTACTGGTGTCTGCGCACTCCTGGGGTTATTGAGAAGCTGCACAAGGTGCTGGACGAGTCTATTCCCAAGGATGTGGATGTGCCCGTTCATGCGATGGTTAAGGATATCCCCTAGTATGTTATTCTCCTCTCCTCCTTCCTTCCTTCTACTATGTATCATGGCAAAAAGCTGACCAAAGAAAAAGTCTCCAATGGGTCATCTGGGAAACAATGCGTATCCACAGCACTTCGGCAATGGGTCTCCCCCGTGAAATTCCCGCCGGTAACCCACCCGTCACCATCTCGGGCCACACCTTCTACCCGGGCGACGTCGTCTCCGTACCCACCTACACCATCCACCGCTCCAAGGAAATTTGGGGTCCCGATGCCGAGCAATTCGTCCCCGAGCGCTGGGATCCCAAGCGTCTCACCGCCCGCCAGAAGGCCGCCTTCATCCCCTTCAGTACTGGTCCCCGTGCCTGTGTCGGCCGCAATGTCGCGGAGATGGAGCTGCTCGTCATCGTTGGAACTGTCTTCCGGTTGTTTGACTTTGAAATTCAGCAGGATGGACCCATGGAGACGAGGGAGGGTTTCCTGCGGAAGCCTTTGGAACTCATGGTTGGACTGAAGAGGCGGAGTGTTGCTGTTTAGGTTTTTGGAAGGGGTGGCAAAGAAAGTTTTGGTTAGACCTTGGGTGGAACACTGAATTGGATGTAAATATGACTTTCCTATCTGGTTGTATGGTTTGAAATTGTGCGATGTTCAATGAATTTCTACTTTCGAATTCCCTGATGACTGAGGCTCATATGTATATATGATAAATGACCATCTCTGATTCTTCACTACTCTTTCTTTGCTCTTGTGGTATTAGAAGCGTTGTGTATGGATCGGATCTGCTTTCCGGCCATGACTCCATTCAATGTATATGTTATGGAGGCCTTAGGCAAGCCGATCACTTGAAGAATGTTCACACTGGCTGATGTTGTAATTCCTTGTTTGTTTTCGGGAGAGCCAAACCAGAACCATATATAAGGCAAGATAACTGAGGAATCGCATCTGTAATAGCTAAGTCCCTGTCTTCTCAGTAGACCCGAGTACTGTAATGGAGGATGCTCGCGAAGAGGAATACTCCGGGACACCGCATCACCGAATGGCTGGGAAGAGGAGAACATGATCAGAGTGTAATCAGAGATATGGGGCCAGCCAAATTCTGACTGCTGTTGCTATATCCCGGTCTCAGTAAACTAAAAATGCGTGGCCCAGACGATTGCCTCGCGATGCAGCCGAAAGAGGAAAGTAGAGTGGATCACCTAGGCTGCTCCTTAACTAGATTAAGGTAACGACCGGTTCTAGGGTATGCCTGGGACCTTTTTCCTCTGGTAGTTGACATTTACCTGGTCTTGGTTTTTACTATAGTCAAAGGTTTCTAAGGATTGTCGGTACCTTGTCGTCTACAGTTGCCCACTTCACTTCTACTCAATAGACCCACAATAACGTATATATAATCCAGCAGTGAAAGTCCAATGTGTAGATCCTCCTCTTCATACTTCTTTGATTGGACTCCGGTGTGCCAGTCATTTCGCCCCTACTGCCATCTTCCACGGATCCTCTAGTTCAGAAGAACATCTCATCACCATGAGAATTGCGCTTGTCGGTGCGGGAGCAGTAGGTCTTCGCCTCGCGACAGAGTGGTGCAAATCAGAGGCCGAGGTAATCATTCTCACTGGTACACGATAACCTTGCCTGAACAAACTCAGAGCCGAGACTCGCCTCACGGACTACTCCATCGAAGATCTGAAGATGAACCTCGACGACTGCGACGTTGTCGTCTCAACCCTCAGCGGACCCAGCGAGTTCTACATCTTCGCCCACTCGAATCTCCGAGCAGCATGCAGCGCATCGCGCAGATACAAACACCGCATTCCTTCCGAACGGAATATCAACATGGAGGATTTCCCCAATCAACCGATGTTCAGTTCCGCCAAGCATGAGGTCATTCGCCAGAAACTACGATCCCAACATGATATTAGTGGACAATGATTTGCCACGGCTGGTTCATGGAATACATCTTGCCTTAGGATAAGAACTACTTCGCGAGATTTGGACCCTCATGGGCGATGAACCATTGCACGAAGATCTTCGATATATACGGAGATGGCTTGCAAAAGGTTACTTTGGCTTCGCTTGGAGATGTAGCTCGGGCGGTTTTGGCTGTGTTGTGGAATAGTATCCATACTGGGACTGATTAACAGCCGGTTACCCACTTGGCTGGGCAGACTTTGACATACCGAGACCTTTTCGAGCTGATTAGAGCTCACGATCGAGCGTGGAAATTGAATGCAGTGACCCTTTCGGAGGTACTTGATGCGATTTGCAAAGGGCTCAAGGCGAATAATGCCGGTGTAGCTGTCCATCAGATGAGGATTCTGGGATTCACGAATGCGAATCACATCCACGATGAAAAGGCGCTAGTTTGGGGAACTGGAGTCCTCCATGGGTTGTACGCCACAAGGGTCAAGAAGCTGTTGGAGAAGGCTAACACTGGACTAAACCAATAATTCAGCCAGTGTGTGGGACTTTGGAGTTAGATATGTTTTATGTTCGGGATCGAAAGTGCAAGGCACGATGTTAGTGGCATATACTGTTTTTCCCCTCAGGACTCATGGCATGATGATATCATTGAGGAATGTAACAAACAGCAGTAAAATACTAAGGATATTGATTATCCTGTCCTGCCCGTCTTCGGCAGTGAAAACTGCATCGTCCACCGGTTTTACAACGTGATAATTTCGTAACCTCAACAGCTCGATTTTCCGATGGTCTGCACCATAGCCCTAAGCATGTTAGTGCTGACATTGGCTACGCTTTTTGGAAACTGTATATCCTACCTTCGGCTTTGTCTTCAAGGCACCCTATTTACTGGTCTCAGGAAACACCTCCAGTGCTCCTTCCACGCCGGCATTCACTTTTGGCAAAAACATATCCCTAAAATTCTCAGAACTCAGAGATTGACGCCACGCTTCAGGTCTCTCGTTAATGCTGTCACGCAGTAGCCGAATCGTCGGGGGTTTAGGAGCCCACAGCCCGCCGCCGACGTACGATGGCCCGGGGCCCAGGTGAATTTAGTAAGATACATAAGGTCTCCTTCTACCAGTGCGGGAGAACGCTGCGGAGAAATGTGACTTAAGAGTAGTAAAGGTGAGATATTAAGCACGCCGTGTGATAATGGAATTACTAACCTTGGACAGTCTCTTGTCCTTGCTAAAGCGAACATCTCGGTAGATCCGAAATATGACATCCTTGGGGGGTAGTTCAGGGATGGTAGAATCAAACGCCATGATCTTGGGTATAAGAGTCTCTATAAACACCTCCCAATCTTTCTACGCACGTTTGCATTCTTTTTGATGGTCTATTGCTGGCAGTATTGCCTTCAGTCTTGCTTTTCTGTACTTATGTTCGAACCAAGTCCGTCTATTATTGGCTCTGAGATCCACCAGGTATAGAAAAGTATTCTTATGTACCTTGTACTCTGAGTATTCAACTGCATTGAGCGAGCGTCATGTCTCGTGAGGAATGACAGTAACTACCTGCCGCTCTTTTCGTCTAGAATTACAGTTCGGTTTTCGTATTCGACATCTGAACCCATCTTCGTCACTGTCGTGCTCGATTCCTATATTATCAGAACCATTGCCCCCGTCGGCGGTATCATGAAAAGAGGACCTATCCCCATCTGCCGTATCTATTTCATCTGCAACGTTATTCTCGTTTTTGACACGAGTTGCAACACCATTGCTTTCAGTTAAGTTATGTGGGACTTGAACCGGTTGCCAAGTTGCCCATCTCGGGGCCACATCGCGAGCTCCTCCACGGTGACTTTCCAGGGGCAGTCATTAGGGCTCCAGGTATCGATTGATTCCCTCGAATGTCATGTTCCACTTCTGACTCTTTAAAGCAAAGATCAAATTTACGCCCTCCACCCAGAGACAGGACAACTGTCTATCCTGTTACCTCCTTCTGTTGTTTGAACCTTTACAGAATGATACTGTAACATATCTTCTATGAGAATGGGCACTTAGGTCTGATACCTATTTGCTTTGGATTGTATCTTATCTCGCATTCTAGATATAATAGGAAGGTAGAGTGGATTTAATGATTTATCTAGTGACGGGAAACCTTCCGACGATTTCCGGCTCAATGACGCTTACCCCCAACAGTCTCCCGGTCCAAAGTATTCAATGACCAGGATCACGAACACTCCCAGCATCGAGGACGGTAAATTCATCCGCCAAATCCATAGTTTCATAACGGTGGGTAACAACAAGAGCCGTCCATCCACAGCCAGCGAATTCCTCCGGTAATCTCTGCATAAGCCAAGGAAGTCTCCATGTCAACGTTACTACTCGCTTCATGGAGTTCCACGATCACACCGTGAGTCTGTGTACCGTACCGACTCTCGACTAGAGTTTTCTGTACAAGAACTCGGGCGAAATTGAACATCTGTTGGTGACCTGAACTCAGGGAAATCATCCACCGGATCTTCAATGCATGGGTGTATGGATGAGCCTATGCTGCTGCCGGGATTAAGGTCGATAATAAACCAGATCCCTACAATCATGCACCCGATATAACCTGGGGGACGGAAAAGAAAGCGCGCGCTTCCTGATAATACCAATAGAGTTAACTTCATTATACTTTCACATATATCAGAGCTTTACAGTGGGTATTATATATACTTAGCGGAAACTTCACGATCATGTAAACAGGTCATCGAGTACAGACATCACTCATTATAGATATCATTCATACTACATGATCCGTAGCCGGATGGCGCAGGAATAACAGGAGAAATAGATAAATACATTACGTTACTCCAACGCCTCCTCCGAGCACATCATGGACGTGATCACCATGTCGCCGGGCCAAACTTCTCCCCAGTAATTTCTACCGCTTCGCCGGCAGCATCCATGGTATTTGCCGCGATACGAGTACCCCACCATGACGGGAACTTAGTCCCAGTAAGCTGCAGGCAAAGGAAGATGACGATCGTGGATAGGGTGAGACCGACATCGAGCCCCGCAGACAGGACGTAGTTGTACTGCATCCACCAGCCGCGCCAGCGGGTGCGAATCCACTTGTTGAAGATGAAGCCAACGATGCCCCAGCTGAGGTAATTGAGGGGCGTAGCAGGGGGAATCAATCCGGCACCGGTGAAGATTAGGGGCGCGCTGAGGTAACGGATCTTGCTTCGGGGCCATATACGGGCGCCCAGATAGATGAGAACGGGCAAGGCAGCGCCAGCAAGCCAGAACCACATCAAGCCGGAGTAAAGTTGGCCGGGTGAGAACATGCGAGCGGGACCAATAACTCCCCAGATGACGGAGGCGTTAAAGAAAACGCGGCCGTTCGGACAGGTGTAGTGGTTCGGTTGATTCAGTTCACAGACACCATCGATCGAACCTAATGCCCAGTTCATGACTGCAATCTGGACGATCGACGTCCACAGGGTGGCGACCATCTGGGCGGCAAATGTAACTCGGGGCGGGATTTTCATATAGTGACCTGTACAAGGATTAGCGCTGAAGCCAGGGGCATCGAAGGTTGAAACTGACCAAGTTTCATGTCCTGGCAGAAGTATAAGCCCTGGGACATGGATATATAACCAAATGTTTTGAAAAGCATCATAGCCATTGGCTTTCCAGGTTGCATATAGCCGATCACAAACTCTGTCAAAACGTTAAGTCCTAGTTGGATGTTTGTAGCTGCCTGCACAATTCCAACAGGCAAAGTCCACACAATGGCCATGATCAAGGCGATAAAGAAAGCCCACCAACTCAGGTGAGTCGGGTATCCGAGTGACACACCCAGACCTATACCCATCATAGTCAAAAAGAGTGCACCGTACCACCACAGCGGAACGGGCTTGAAGCGAGCCATCAGACGGGCGTGGATATCGTCCTCAGTCTTGCGGAAAGTCTTGAGACGGGCCAAGACCTCCTTACCATGAAACAATATCGCATGCAGAAGGACGGCAATAACGCCAGCAAAGCTTAGGCCGTAGCACAAAGCGAATGTCGTGGACAGAAAGAGAGGCGAGTACTCTTTGTATTTGGCGGCGTCGAAGGTAAACTCTGGCGTCAGGATTCTAGACACATCGTATTCCTTTCCGAGGTTATCGTAGCTGCTGGAATCGCTAATGGGCAAGTGCTTGAACCAGTAGGCATTACTGTAGTGGAGACCAATAGTGCAGATCCAGTAAAACACCACCATACCAATAAGGGTGTTCGCGTGCGCATGCCACGGAGAGATCAGTGGACTGAAGTTAAAACCCGAGATCTGAGTCCAGTCAAAAGTGATAGGGAGTAAAGACAACCCCGTCCAGCCACCGAAGAGCTGATTGATGACAGGGCTCTGGGGCTTGATCCATGTCACCCAGGCGAAGACGCTGAGAAAGGGAGCAATATAGCCAGGGAACCAGTACCAGACGAAAGATCCGATCAAACAGTACAAAAACATGCGATATCTGCCGATTGTCCAGCCGGCAACCTTTCGTGGGTCGGGAAGAGTACGGTCGTGCAGTGCGCTAAAGATGGATGTATTGATGAGCGTTGATGGCCAAATCATGGCTGCTGGAGCGACGAGGAATCGGTGAAAGAAGCCCGCAAAGCCAAAGCCCAGCATCTGGGTACATATACACAAGAGGAGTTCGTAGCCCCATCCGAACCGTTGCTTGTAAAAGGCTCGTTGGGCGACTATGATATCGGTGGCATAGGCAGTACCACCCCCAAATGAGGCGTTGGCCATGAGAACTGCAATGGCGTGCTCCTTTTTGCTAAAAGGGCCGGGGTTCAGATTGAACTTGAGACCAAACAAACTGAAAGTCTTGTTTGGCAGCAACATTGCCCAACCTACGCCGATTGGGTAGGCCACAACCTGAACAACATACGAGGGAATCACAATGTATGGCTGGCGCAGAGAGAACAGCATGTTCATCCCAGATGCAACGGTGGCTAGGACTAGGCCAATGACCCAGGCGCGGATGGTATTGGTATGACCACCCTCGTCATAGTTTGGGACGGCTGCACGCACTTCTGGATAGGGAGAATTGTCAATGAGATCCTCAGCAGCCTCGGCTCCCGCCTTGTCGTCAATCTCGTCGGTGACATCTTCGGGCAAGTTTGGGTCCCATTGTTGCTCCTTCTTCAGTTGTTTCAGATGGGAGATGGCCGCATCCGGTGCTGCTTCATCAATGGCCGCTCCGGTGGTCACGGCCACCGTAGGTCCGGTCTCTTTCTCCTTCATTGTGGCTCGTGAGAGGGAGACGACGCCACTAGAGTGTGTTGGTATGAGAAGGTGGTCGTGCTCACACTGACCATCCAACTGAAGAAGAGGAGAAAAGCAAAGGGGGGTAAGCTCGCTGAGAGAGCGATGGGCATATGGAAGAGAAAGTGAGAGTGCTGCAGGCATTTACCCCATATATATGATACGATGGCGCTCTGCTCCTTACCAGAAGGGTGGGGAGCACTAGCTATGTCCGATGGTAGCCCGACATCTTATCGTCTATGTATGGATAAATTAATTAATAGGAAATGGAACCAGCGCTATCAATTAGATCCCAAATCCACTAGTCACTAGGCAGGTTCCGATGTAACCCCGGCTCAGAAACCAGGGTTTCCACTGCCTGAAGCTCATCTTTATAGGCATACCAATGTTGGGTAAGACAGAGAAATCGAGCGTTCATGCCAAGAGGGAACAATGCGGCTATTCTACCATGCTGACAGTCACCCGGGCAATTTCACATAGACCCCAATGTCTCGATCATGTAGATCAGCTGTGCAGAATCCCCGCGCTTCAACGACGTTTACCCTCTGGCAACAGGATGGAAGAGAATCTCCGCAGATCGGCGCTGTTTTGCTGTATCGGCTGAAGGCTGGGCGCTGATAGGCTCCCTAAGCTATTCGGTAGACATGACACTAGGGCTCCTCGACCAGCTCCCTGATCTATTGCCTCTTCGTGACTGGCCATTGACTAATTGACCTGACCACGACCGGGGTGGCGTTCCTATATGCGCCGACGAATCGCACAACCCATGCATGTTTCACCGCAATCAACGCTAGAGAGATAGAAGGCTGAATTAGGGGGTAATTGAAATTAGTCGCGAATTGCGTCGGGCGTCCGGTCCGTATCTGGGGTATTAAGCATTGGATTTCTCGCGCTAATTCAGTGGAGGGAGGTGGGGGCCAATCTACAATCAATTGTAGCCTATGAATGGCCTGCATGCGATACCGATAGGAGGAATGGGTTGATACGAGATACAAGACCCCGGCGCTCCCACCCGCACAAGCTTGTTCCTGATAAGCAATGGAACACACAACCACAAACCCAACACAAAGGTTTTACGGTCTTATCACACCCAGAGAGACATCATTTGATCACAGCATCCATGGAAATGTCTGCGTGACCTGCCTCGGGGCCTCCCTAGCGTCGTTTAGACAATATACTAGGCGGGGCCCATACGAAGCGAGGTTGAGGATATCGCGAGGCCTCGGTTAACCCGGGAACAGGACGGCAAATCATCGGAGGTTTTGATGCGATAACCCTAACCGCTTCTGAAAGTTAACTCCGTCTTAGCTTCGACTTGGCGGGCTTGATAAGGCCCATGCAACAGGATGGAGCCAATTGCCTTCTCGAAGCCCCCAGGAGTTAGGACACTGCTTCAACCCCAACTGCGGGAGCGATAGAGCGATGTAACGTGCCCAAAATTGGCACCTTTCTCGATACACCCCATCTCCTTCCTATTCTGGGGCCTTGATTCATGAATGGTGGTTGAAATTTCCCATCGAAACTTATGGTAGAGATCGTACGCCGTATTTGTCCAAGTTCGGCCGTTGTTCACAATATCGCCACAACAACCATTATCCCAAATTGGGATTACCACAGCTGCTTAGTAGATAACATCATCGCCGACTAGATTTGGTGGCTTGAACACCCGCACGGACTCGATGTGAGGTAGCACGCTGCCATAATCTTGATTTTTGGCCTAGATTTCTGTATTTGGCAGGTGCGAAGATGGAACAATGTTCTAGCGCGGAAGATACTGAGACGTGGGATCAACGGCCACATTCGGCTATGATGCAGCTAGTGACCTCAAAGTATATGCCCGCACTAGGACTTATTCGCACCTTTATCGTCAGAGCGTCCTATGAGACTGTTCCACTATATTAGCAAGGCCACATGGCGAATGGATACCGTCGGATGCCGGGTTTGAATCACCCCAGGAAGCCATGTCTTTCCCACATTCCTTTGTTATTGTTATGCGAATGGCAGGTGAGTTATGATTGCCACATTCGATTGTGATTGGGTGTGAGCATGGCATCATCCAAAGCATAAGGCGTGATCAGTCAACATCTTGGACTGAGTTTGTCGCGTTTACCAAAGCACCTGCAACTCTCCTGTGACGGTGTCTATGTTAGTCTCACACTACTATTCAGTCTACGTCGCTGGCGCCGACCAGGAGACTATTAGCGCTAGATAGCAGCTCCTAGTGATGACCAACCTGAGCCATACGGCTCAGTCGGAGGGAAGAGTCCGTCATCGCCCAAGGCCCATTCGAAATCAGCCAGAAACTGGTCATCAAAAAGCACAGGCTCTTGGCGTTCCATCAGGCCAATCGGTGCGTTTACCACCGCACCGGTGCTATCCCGATTGGAATCAATTCCTATGCCGATGATAAGCTTCGCCATGAGGGGTAAGATGAAAGAAACATACCCTCCGGCACATTTCCCTGGGAGGGGACCCCTGACCGACATTGGGGGTCATACTCTTCCCGCCACCACCATACTGCATCCACCACTGGACTCAGCATCAATCGGCTGCGGATTCGAAGCGTTGGGAAATCACTCCCGTCGGGCTTGCGAAAGGCCCTTGTACTATTCCATAGTTGGTTCAATACAATAACCGTTTTTGCTGCAGCATCATTGTTCTGGACGGACATCCGTTTAAGAAGATTAATTGCAATAAAAAAGCGTGATCGGGCCCTCTCCAGATCTAGCCCAGGTAATGAGAGGCCTTTGAGTATGCGCAATAGGGCTACTGAGGCGAGGAGCAGCGCAAAGTACAGCTCCAGAGGAGCTATTGCAAGATTCAGGGGTGGCCGGCCGAAATCTTGAACTGACTCGATAACCGAACAGGCGGTACATAAAAGACGTTGAACACAGCCCGTCGAGGACAACGTCTGATTTTTGAAAAAGTGCAACATTTGAATGCTCAGACGAGAAATAGTGGTTTGGATCCGATCATGCGCTAGATGGCAATGAGCCTCTCCCGAACTAATGAATGGGGATCAAAGATTGGCATTACCTTGACGTATCTGTACCTCCAAATCTGTGACCTGGTTCTCAAATGTGCGTAACAGAATATCTAAAGCTCTCTCTTGCTCTAGGGACATTGTTCGTACCCCGATCTCGAGAACCGCCGCGCTACAACGGGCAACCAACTCCTGACATTTCCTCTCCATAACGAGTGACGGCGAGAGCTTCTGAACATCCACTTCACGTTGTCCAAAGTCCTGTTCTAGTTCCATGAAAGAGCGAGGCGGGTGTCCCTTTATAGTGCAAGCACTGGCATCTCTTAGCACCTCACAAGCAGGGTGGTGGTTTGCACCTTACCGTTGGTACACAATCACACAGCGTGCCCAAAGCTCTGATCGCCGCACCAGTTCTGCCTCGGATGGGGCAGGAATTCTTTTCTTAGTGAACTCGTGGCTAGACATGGGAATATGAAGCCCGTTCTGCATGGCAATATGCAGCATACTGCCACTTAACGGAAAGGTTAACTCGGGCCTTGTATTATCCTTCGGCATTGGCCATGTGAGGACGAGCAGCAAGGCCTGGATTATATGCCATGGGGCCGATGTCGATGCAAGTGAAAGTAAAGCCATCTCTGTGATGCTTCGTGCAAGCGCGGTGAGCAATGTCGGATTTTTCGGGTACGTCCTGCATGCGACCCCGATGACAGCCCAAAATAGAAAGGGGCATTGTGCATAGTATGCATTCGGGGTGGTTAATGGGTCCAGTACGGGGAGGAACTGGGCATATTGCTCAAAGAACCTGGATTCTCTTAGCTCGTACAGCAACATCTGTAGTCAATTGGGCTCGTACAGTTGGAATATCTCGTCTATTTCCCCCCCAGTGACTTCAATATCATTTAACGTACGCGGCACTGTTGGAGCCGAAGCCCGCTCCCCAGGCGCATATTCCACTCGTGGTAGGGGCGGCCCTAGGGAGAGAGAAGGCACCGTTGGTTCAGCATAGGAAGCCGGGGGTGATTGTGACTGAGGCGTTAGGTGTAGGCCAACTTCATTCCCCGTGGAATGCACACCCATTTCCGCTGCAGCTGTCAGCATGGCGATAGGGGAGGACGAAGGGAGAACGCTCTGCGATGACCTCAATCTCTTGCGCAACTCATCTGTCTCCTGTTCGAGTTCTGAAAGTCGCCTTTTTCAATCAGTCATTCTATAAACGTCTGGTAGAAAGCAAACCCATTCGTTCACTCACTGGCGTTTGTGCTCTCTCCGGAATGGGTCTGAGATAATGCACTCTGCTTTCATCTTGACACACCTGGTGCATGGCCGATCAGGGTTGAGGTAGGCATCGCATCGGGCCTGAAGACGCTAAGATTAGTGCAAAGTCCGTTGTTATAGTCATTCAGATGACTTCACGGTGCAAAAGCAAAATGGAGAGCATATTACGGGATGGCTCGCCTTTTGCTGCCTGCACTCCGTGCAAGCTTTCTTGCTCCGTTTCGATGACCTTTCGACGCATTGCGACGTTAGTGGGTGGCATCGTGAGTAGACCGTTGAGCATCAGTTGATTACTTACGCCATATTATCTTGATCATCCATTTTATGGAAATGGCCATCTACGCTTTAAGCGTGGAAAACTGACAATGTAGTATTTGGGGAGATGAATGTTGAAGACACAACGGTGAAAGACTGTTAGAGTTGAGGGAAAAAGTACGGAGATAGGGCCATAATCTCCGCGAGATTACTTGGATCGACCAAATCCAGCATAACAGAGTTACAGACTATATGAGTCTGAGAATACATTAGTCTAGTATGAAAAATTCTCATTCATTATACACATATCAAAATATATGCACACATGCATAGAAGATGCATTAGCTTGTAAAGTTTGGAAACCAAAACTGTATCCACGTAGGAACAGAACAGAGTATAGTAGTACAGGATCGACAGAAATACGTGTGCCAGATGTCTCAGCGGCTACCTAAGCTACTTGGTGCCTCAGGCCATTGTTGTCATTCGCTAATCACCTGCCTCTCTTCTAAAATAAATTGTTTTTATTTAAAATTATGGTTCGTTTAATCTGATGATTGCGATGCTAATAGCAGGTAGTCATAGAATCGTGGTCTGAGATGACCTGCTATTTCAGGAATCCCGGTACCGGCCTGCCATGGCGGGTTTTGCCGACACTACGGGTGGTTCCAGTTTCTGGTCCCGGCTTGTCTTTGTTTCTCGCCATGGGGACCAACCTTCGTTAAGCGGACACGTCTGCTGTTAATTTTTGCTGAAGGGATCTTGTGAAAGATTCATGGATTTTCCAAGTGGGGTTCTGTTACTGCGTCAGTCCACCATAATCTTGGTGTTTTGTGCAATAGTATGTTTCGAGTGCCTCGGTGTATGTATATTTCTCTACCGTAATTGCCAAATACGTGTCGCTCCATGCCCAGGGTATAAGTTGTTTTTGTCACAGTGTAGAAAGAAAACAGGCAAATAAAAAAAAAAAAA